CCTTTGTTCAGAAATACTTAGTAAATCTTGACTGACGGGATTATTAATTTGCAATCTAGATGTTTCCTACTGTTCTTGTAACCGTCACAATTTATTAAATACTAGTTGTCCAATATCGAAAAATATTAGAAGGAAAAAGGAACGATCGATCAATATTTGCAATTATTTGCGTTTATTGCAAATTAGAAAAACACGAAATATTAAAGTTGACTAATGATGTGTGATTACATTGAATCATAGAGATATTTGGTCAGCAGTTTCAAAAATGCACAAACAAAATATGCCCTAATCATCATTTAGTATATTGAATGAAATATACCAAATCAATAATAGCAGAATTTTACCAATAATTTACCTACTTTATAAAATGTTAGATTAACTTATCTTCCTAGTTTTTATCTTCACAATTAAAAATTGTATTTATGTATGAAGTGGAAATACATAACCAATTAAAAAAAATACTTACTTAGAGTTATGACTTCAAATAAATGATGCTCTGGCATGAATCATTTAAATATTTCACCATTTGGAAATAAAAATGTGAGACAGCTGAAACTGGGACTGCGTCCAGGTGAATAATGTGGCTCAACATCTCTAGAAAGCGACAATATCTACTGAGTTAGTGGCTATAATGGTGGATGTAATCAAGATATAAGAGGTAGCAATAAGTATTAGCTTATAAACTCAACTTAGGTTTTAAAAACTGGATCAATATAGATTTGTTCAAATCAGCTATTTATAGGTATATTGAAATTTTTTTGTTTTGTAAAAATTGAACCTGTGTCTTTAAAGTACATAGAGTGTAGCTTTGTAGCTTATATTGATGGTAATATGCAGAAAGGGCAAATTTTCATTTTAAATTCATACTTTATTCACCCCATTATTATGGCTTAATTTTCCTTGAAACACACTTGGAGTAAATCATAAAAGAAAACAAATGAAATTTAAGAACACTAAATCTCAAGAAAATTCATTTTATAAAAGTAGAGTAAATATAGTTACCATCATATTTATCACACAAGTAAAAAATCACACTTTTAGAACTAATTTTATTAATTCAGCAGAAGTATTTTTGCAAAAGAAAATCTTATGAACACAAATGTAGTACTCAAAGATGTTAAAAGACCTGTAAATAATAATAATAAACTTGAGGTGTTTAAAATGAATTATTTTTGCATTTATTAGTTTAAAGTGATAGCAACATTATTACAACATGTGTGTAAAATAAAGATTGGCCCTTTCTCTACAATTTTATCGACATATTTATATTTTTTTTTTCCACAAATTTAGATTTGATTTATTGTCTTAACAGAAAGAAACTAAAAAGACGACAAATAAACGACTTGGATAGAATATCCTACTCTGATGATTTATATGCACCTTATAAACCTGGAAAAGAATTCAAAACAAAACCTGATATAAAAAACCCTGGCTCATGTAATAGATTTTTATTGATATCTGAAACTACAAGTACATCAATTGAAACAAAAGTTGAGCAGAAATACAAGAAATCTGCAAATGCAAATGATATCATAATTTATAATGTGAATGATACACAAAAAAATATCGTTTTGTCCAAAAAACTAGATGAGAACCATATTAAAGAAGAAATGAAGGGAGTTTACAAAAAATTAGCAGAGGATTTCCAGATCCTCCAAGATTTGTTGAAGAAAGAAAAATATTCTATTTATGGGAACTTGTCTGCAGAAGATCAAAACTTCATCAAAGAATCCAAACTAAAAGGTGCTAATAATACAAGTAATATTCTGACTATTGAAGATGTCAACGGCAACAATGGTCCTTTAACTAGAATAACTCTTCTTCGAAGGAATATAGTTGAAAAAAAAAGTGATTTAGATCTGCCAGTTATTTCATCTGGAAAACGTGGATTCAATAATAATTACGTCAAATTAAAAATTGAAAAAGAGGTAACATATTTTATAAAACAACGAATAAGATGCCAACTTAATTTACTATCTCATCTACCTTGTTAGGTTATTATAAATATGATTAAAATGAAAAATAAATTCTCATATATTCATACCTACCAATAGAAATGTGATAGTGATAATAAGAATTTATGAAAAAAAAATCTGGTTCTGTGTGCGCATCACACAACTTTCACTAACATTTTTTTTTTAGTAGAAACAGGTATTTTCAGATAAAGGGAGGTTAAAGTAAAAATTACAGAGGATAAAAAATATAATTTCATCGTTATCATCATCACAAGCGCTACGATCCGGTATGGGTCTTCGCTGCATCAATACGTTGCATCCAATCCTCTTTGTCTTGTGCAAGGGTCTACCAAGCTCTAGTGTCCAGAAGCTTCACTGCGTCAGCTTCGACTTCATCTGCTCATCTCAGTCTTTGCCGTCCTTTCTTTCTTCTGCCATCCACAAACCCGAACAGTAGCCGCTTAATTGGCGAGTCCCTATCCATCCTTGTGACGTGCCCAGCCCATCTTAGCCTAGAGAGCCGTATAAATTGCACCACATCCAGTTCCCCATAAATTTGGTACCACTCTACATTATGCCCATAGCCTTTACTGATTTTAACTTTTACAGGGCCAAACATTCTTCACAGAACTTTTCTCTCGAAAATCTGCAACATGATGGCGTCTGTTTATGATTATGGCAATGTCTCTGGAGCCATATGTCAGTACAGGTTTAATAAGAGATTTGTACAGAGCAATCTTAGTGGATCTAGCCAGCAGATGACTTCTGAAAATTTTAGCTAGACCAAAATAGCACCTATTAGCTGACGTAATTCTTCTCTGCATTGCTTGACTAGGCACATTTTCTGCACAAACTAAGGACCATAGAAACACAAAATGATTTATGTTTTCAAATGTGTATCCTCCAAATGTAACTGTAGGCGGTAGTGGCCATGGTGAGTTGGTAATCATATATTTGGTCTTAGCTTGGTTAATGCTCAGACCCATTACCTGTTCTGTTGTCTCTATAGCTAATAAGGTCCTTTCTAAGTCCCTCTGTGATCTAGCTATAATATCTATGTCATCTGCATAGGCCAGAATTTGTACTGACTTGATGAGAATCGTCCCATTTCTTTGCACTTTGGTGTCCCTTATCACCTGTTATAGTGCAAGATTAAAGAGCAGGCATGATCTCTTTGTCTTAGACCCCTTGTAGTCGTGAATGCCTCTGACAGGTCTCCCTGTATTCTGATTTGAAACCTTGATCCTATCATCAGCAGCTCCGTAAGATGGATCAATTCAAGGAGAATATTCATTGTTTCCATAGCCTGGTCCATAGTCTTCTCTCTGATGACACTGTCATATGCACTTCTAAAATCCATGAAAAAGTGATGTGTGTTAATATTATATTCCCTTGTTCTTTCAAGTAGGGTCCTTCAGGCAAAGATTTGATCAGTGGTAGATCAAATGGTAGATCTCCCTCTCATAAAACAACATTGGTAGATTCCCACCTCTCATTCTGCATGCGGAATTAGCCTCTGATAGATGACGTTAGATAACACCTTATATGTGCAATTGAGGAGAGTTATACCACAGTAATTATTGCAGTTGGTACAAAATATAATTTAAAACAATTAATTACCATATGTTTTTCTCAGCCGTCTAATATATTATATATTTTTTATATTTTATTGCAGGTAGTTTTATTTGTTTAAACATTGGAATGTATACAAGTTTTAATTTTTATAATGCTACAATCTACAAATTAATTATTAAATAATACCAATGCTAGCAGTTATGAAAACTGTGCATGTATATATGAATAATATTATTGTGGTACATATTTTATTAAGCACATGTTATGTATGGAAGCTTATTCTAACTTTTCAGCCAAGCTCTCGTTTCTTCAGTTATTTATCACGATCTCTTATTTCTTGTTTAATTAATCATCAAATTATTTCATGTTTTATAATATAAAATGATTAATTCTATCAAAAAAAAAAAAAAAAAAAAAAAATTAAAGGTACTTAAGAGGAAGAAATTTTGAAAATTAGACATTTAAGCTCTGTTAGAAAAAAAGTACAGTTACTATTTTTTATATTTTATTATTACTATCTTTAATTATAGGTAAATACAAACATAATTACCCATATACATATATTAAACTTAATTCTAATAATCTTCAAATTTTCTTAGTATATAATTAATTATAGCGCTAGATTAATGAACACTGCACAAAAACTATTGGAGGCTAGCTCACAGAAGTCACATGCGACCTCGAGACCACAGGTCCCCACCTGTGCACTATACAATAGTTCCTTTTGTGCTGTAGATATGCAGTAAGGCTGAATTTGAAAAAATTCTTACTATAAGAAAGAAAATAATTTCTAAACATAAAAATAAAAATAGTTCTTTGAATAACTCAATGTGGCTCAAATGAAATATTTGCGAGCAAAGTTGTATTTTATTTATTTATTTTTTTAAAGCCTGTTCTTACAAGTATTTTTCAACCTGTATGCCTCCCCTAATTAAGAGGGAATGGTCTAACTACCAGTGGGGACCAGCCGTATTGGGAAGTAGGGCCGAGATTCGATCCTATGATCTTTGCTTTACGAGAATAGCGCGCTAACCACTCTGCTATACTGGTCCCCTTTATTAATAACAGCAAGTAAATTTGGAAACCAAAGTTTAGGATAATAGGTTAACAATTTTTGGGATATTATCTAAAAAAAGAAAATTTGACAAATTGGGTACTTTTCCTTGTATGTATTCATTATATAAATATTCACTGAAGTGCAAAAATAATGAATCTTAATTTTCATTTTTGCACATATCGTAGATCTCTCCAAGTAACAATAGTGAAAATGACATCTCGTTAAAAAAAAATGTTTAAAATATGATCTCTGCTGTTATATTTGTCCTTTTTAAAGAACAATGATATATTTATTTATTTAATTGAAATTTTTTGTTTAAAGGATGAGGAACCAATATAAACAAAAAAAAAAAAAAAAGAGAAGAAAGAAAAAAATATCAAATAATATGAAGAATGGATAAATACAAAATATAATATTTTATCTTACAAATTTTATTAAAATACATGTTTTACTAATAGAATATACTAGCAAGTAGCATACTGGACTTAATTACGTCACTACCGAAAAATTGAAGTGAGAAATCTGTGCAGACCTTTCTTCTTCCTTGTATTTTCTTCTTCATTATTTTTCATTTCTACAACTTGCACTTTTTTATATGACCCTTTATACAAAGCTTCATCAGACTCCTTTTTTATATTAAGATGGAGCATTTGTTGGTGAAGAAGTGGCACCAACAAATTATAGGTATCTGAAAAATAATTATTTATTAATCTGTTGCTATGTATTGACACCCTAACCACTAATAATAATAGTATTATTCACATTCACATATAATAATATCCATTGAGATATTATATTTTTATTGAATATAAGAATGAAGTCTGCATAATGATCAGATAAAAAAAAAAAAAAAAAAAAAATTGTAGATCTAAGGAGCTTGTGCTTTGACAGGGGAACATAAACAAAGAAAACTTAAGTCTTGGAGGTCAATCACATCATTTTCTTCATGACATCAGGCATCATACTTTCACTCTAATGGCCAGTGTCACATAATCACTCCCCCTCTCCTCCCCCCCCCCCCCCCGGTACCACCCAATAAATTATATCATGGTTTATAGCAAAAAATCACTAAGTACACTTTTGGTTGATTTTTTCCTGATGGTATGTAGTTATACTTAGTTATAGGTACATAATATAATTTTGATTATATTTATCGATACAATAATTCATGAAGTGCATAAAAATAATACAAATCCTTTTATACATATAAAATAATTTCACTAAGTGCACGATGTTCTGACTTTACAGAGGGAAAAGTTACTATTTGGTGCTTAATGACATCTTTCAATGGATGGTTAATAAAAGTAACAAAGTGAGGTAAGTATAACTCACATTCTAAGTACTTGTAAGGTTATAAAAGTAAGTTAGTGTTTTGTTTACCTATGATAGTGTGAAAAAAGTCATTAAGTACGACGTCATTTCATGTTTTTTCATTGTTATGTATGTGATAAGTATTTTAATTATTTTTTAAAAATAGAATACATATTTAGAATTGCAGATAACAAAAATAAATAATCATATAGCTATTTTAGTATTTTTTTAACAAATCAGAAACTTCAAATTAGATTATCTCAAAATCATTAAAAGTTTACTTAATGACTTTTTGTAATAAACTGACGATATATTTTTATTTTTATATCTTCAATGGTAATATATTTTGATTGGTTTTTGCCATTTGTAAATATTATTTCAAACAAGCGAGACGAATTAGAGCAATTTTCTTAGAAATTCAATTGTTACAAATTTAGCTTTTATTAATTATAACTCCTCTGAATATGAAAAAGTGTTTAAACAACTATTTACCAAATGATAATTCAGCATCTCTCTTCCATTCTGATATATAGCTTCCTCACCATTTGTTTTGACTACATAATTACACATATCTCAAGATATAAGATTTATTCTATGGGAATAATTTCTACAGGAGAAGCCATTACAGTCTTTTCAAAGATATACACACACCAAAGTGAAAGACGTGTACAGAATTTTTCAATGCCAATATATGACTATCTAAGAATCAACATTAATAATCCCTGAAAATTTTATCAAATCGAATTTAGGACAGTATGTGTTGTGCCTGGTAATATGGATTTTAAATTGTAAAATTTAAGGGAAAAATTTTGGTTCAGGGCACAAAAATTCTTTTCTTTGGCAGCGAGAAAGAAAAAAAGTATTTTAGTATTCAAATCAAAATTAAATCCTTTGGTTCAAAGCAGAAGAATGCCATATAATTATAAACAATGTTGAAAGCATTACTTCAAGAATAATTACTGAAACGTCACTTTAACAACCGATAATATAGTTAATAACCACAATTTTAGAATAAATACCTATTTTTCCATTTATCTGTTTTACTTCATCACTAAGTATTGTTGTTATTTGCTGCCAGTAGTGGTCTTCTTTTTCCGTTAAAGGAACGGGTCCCATGGTTTCCCTCAGTTTAAATAATCTTTTCCGCAGTTCTTCTGTGCTTTCCCTTATTTCTTTTTGCAAAGTTATCCATGTTGGAGTAAATCCATTCTCTATCAGGACCTTTATAAATTAAAACATCTATAATGAAACTATTCCAGTGAAACAAATATTTAGGGAGAAGTCCAATTTAATTATTCTTATTAGCTTAAATTTAAAGAAGTTGAGTGCTGCATGCTTTAAAGTAGGAGTTTCCAAACTTTTTGGCCCAGTGGCCATATTGGGACATCCACTACGTCCTATGGCTTCATTGAGATTTCTACCAAGGCCCCTGGGCCATAGCTTGTGATGAAAAAAAAACTTGTTTTATAAATGACACTTAAGCTATGAAATGAGCTATCTGAGAGAAATAACTCAGTCAATAAATCTTGTATTAACCTCATGTGAGTGATTTACTAAATTTCATATTTTTTCAAAAAGATTTTAAAATTTTACTATGTAATCAAAGAAACTTTCACGAGCTATAGTTTGAAGAACCCTGCTTCAAATGTAAAACATGCTAATTTTTTTTTTTTTTTTTCTGTTGGCTTCACATACTATTTTAGGACTTTAGTTAACTCAGTACATCTCCATTCTTAATCTATGGATTTTGATATGCTGCATGAAGTGGAATATTCAAAGAAAGACAGAGATTTCTTTTTTTATTGTTAATTTCAGAACTTCATTGGATAAAAATTATATTTATTTATTTAATTTTAACTTACTGACTTCATTTTATCTCTGTATATATATTTCTTTTAATTTATTTATTTTTAGCATACAGGCATAATTTTAACTTTATAACTATTTATAAATTATTTTAACCTATTTATTAATTTTATTCTTTTAAAACCTATTTAATGAAGTCAAGTAAATGCTTTGAATTTCTACACTTTTATTTATTTATTATTGATAATTTTTTTCTATGTAATTTTATTTATCCTATTGTATATTAACATATTATTGTAGGGATAAAAAGATATGGACTCAAATCCAAGTAATTTCAGATCGAGATTAAGCTGAGATCGAAGGCCATTTCAGAAGCCTCTTTGATAATAAAAATTTCTTGAAACGTGCGCCAACACCAAATTTAGCATCTATCGATGCCCAAGAGATAAAAAAAGCTATAAAATCAATGTGACTGGACACATCGCCGGGCCTGACGGTGTTTTGATCCACAGGATAAAATACTTTGATGCATCTTACATCATCAAGACAACTGCGGAGATTATGCTGAGGGTGACTAATGTACCAAAGCATCTATGCCAAGAGCGCACAATCGTGGTATATGAGGGAAAAAGAAATGCCAATAGCATATGTACATGGAGATCAATTACCATTTATTCAATTGTGGACCAAATCATTGAGAAAATTCTGGACCAAAAACTGAGAAAACGCTTCAGGAAAAACCAGAGAGGCTTCATTAGGAGCCTACCAGGAGCACATTTAAGCGCAAGAATCATTGAGGTGATCATAAAAGATGCCAAGAATAGAAAGAATGATTGCGCGGTGGTATTTCTTGATGTCGTAGGCACTAATTATATGATCAAGATCATGTAATTCGCTCACTCGAGGCAAGAGGAGTGTCACCGGAACAGAAAAATGTGATTGCAGCTCTCTTGGACTATAACCAAATCAAGAGTGGAATTGAAGCCCACTTGACAAAGTGGATCAAGGTGCGGTGAGGAGTACCCCAAGACGGACCCTTGTCGCCTTCGCTGTTCAAACTGGCCATAGACCATCTTTCCCACGACCTGTGTGAGCAGGAATTTTCGAAGCACTATGGATAACATCAAACCTGCAACCAAGAATGTGCGACCAGGCTGTTGTGGCGCATGACAAGAGTACTGCAGAGAGGATTATCAATTGTGTGCAGAGGATCTTTGCCGAGATTGGTCTGGCTGTAAATCCGCAGAAAAGCGTGGGCTTAATAATGGATAAAGGAGAGCTGCAGCAAACAAAGCTCTTCCCAGATAACTGAGAAACCATCTATTCAGCAAAGGCTGGTGAGACTATGAAGTATTTAGGATGTACGTTCTCGGGAGAGCTGGTACAGAATGAGGAATTAGTGACAAAAGTGAACAACAATTTGGATAAATTGGTAAACTCTTGCCTTTTCAAATGTTTACATGGGACAAGAAGGGGAAATGGGTTTCTAGGAATTGGAGAACATCTATAAAGAGAATTATTAAAGGATATATAACAGAAGTAGGTATACAGTCCACAAATGTGGTAGATTTGTTCATTGAAAATAAACCTAGGAATTTAATCTTGAATTGCATCTTCAATATCACATTTTAATTTTTACATATAAATAAATATTCATTTACATATATTTATTTCTTTAAATTAATCAAAATATACAATTTCCTTCAAATATGCATTGTTCCTCAAATATGCAAAATAAAATTTGGCTAATTGTATCACAGTGTACTAATTCGTGTAGATATTTGATCAGCAGTTAAAGCAAACAAAATATGCAATTGTATAAAAATCCAGGCCTTGACAATAACCAATATCCTGTTAAACTGAAACCATCTATATTTTGAAAACATAATAGATGACCACTAAAAAGAGTTCAGAAGAGGAGGAAGGACAGGTGCTAAAAAAACAATAGGAAGAAGTTGAAGAAGCATATCTTATTGGCTGCTTTCAAAGCAGCTCCTGATAACGGGAAATTGATGAATGTATATCTAAATTATCTTTAATACTGAATCATATAACAAGGAGAAGTTTCTGAAATGTTTAGTTTGAAAAGGTTTGAAGCAAGGAGATAAACTCTAGCCGATGCTGTTCAACTTTATTTCGGAAAAGTTATTAAGAATGTCACATGAAAATGTAAGGGTGCAAGTCGGAATCAATCATAAAATCCTAGGATTTATTGCTGTATATTACTATCTTTGAATATAAATGATAATTTAAAGTGATATACAAAATAAAGTTTATTTGATATACAATGAAAATTTAAAAAAAAAAATAGAATTTTTTAATACTCACATACTTCTAGGCCATAGCCTAACCAACTAGTCGACTTTTCCTATTTTCTTAACTGATTTTAATTTACCAATTATATTTATTCATTTAGATTATTTCTACCTCATTCCCCTTCCCTCTGCCTAAGCCTGAGCTTAAGTTATGATAGGTTGATCCATTCCAAGGCTGCTTTTGATTTCTCGATATGGTGATTATCAAAAATTATTATATTACATTCTTAGACTTCAGAACTGAATGGTAACTGCAAGATTTGATACTGCATTGGAGGGCCGTGCTAATAATAATAATAATGGCCATACAATAAGTAGCATTATATAATATTTTTCTACTGATGAATAGTTTGAATATGTAAATATACCTGATTCATTTTATGAGTAACAAAATCAACATATGGATTGTTTTCAGTGGTAGTAGGTTTCAAAGGTTTTCCACTTCCTGATAGATTGTCAAATTCTCCTCTTGAAATAGATTCTTGAATCAGATCTTCAACAAGACGGTCCATGCCAAATCTGCAGAAAAAATAAATGATTCAAGAACTTTGTGTAAACAATTAATAGAAAGCATCATTCTATTAAGTATATTGTACCCAGTTCTTATGTCTTTGACTTTTTTTTTGCTTTCTTTTTTCATCACTTGCTTACATTCAGGATTTTCTTCTGATAACTTATTAATTCTGTATTGAGTGACATTTTCAACTGCCTTCGCTGCTTTATGAACATTATACTGCTTGAACCTCTGAAATGGTGTTCCTGAACCTAAGCCATCATAGCTCAAGTATTGTCTATGTTGGGGAGCAGTATGCTAATAAAAAACCAAAACAAAAACATCAAATCTGTTTAGAAATGATTATAATTTTCATATCACTCAATGCATTAATAATTATTGATGCAGGTAAAAACTAAATCTTGTTGAACAGATTATTATAGAAAGACTTGTAATGTTATATGAATACAATATAATATAAAAGATATTAATAATATATAAAATATTAAATAAAATATAATTTATATATATATTAAGAAATATAAAACATGAATATAAAGACTGGACTAAACTAACTGGCATTGGCATTTGTATTTTACAGTTATAAAATAAAAAACGTGAGCAGCACAGCTCATTCACTAAGGTTGTATTTTTTCCTCATATTAATTTTGAATACAGATGAAAAGTAATTAAATTGTTTTATTATTGTTTATCTTAGATAAATTAAATTGAATTTCAAAATTAACTGAACTGCTGAATTTCTCTCTTTTGAACATTTTATATTTTTATCCCCAAATTTGAAATAGTGAGTCTAAAAAAAAATTCCAAAACCTCCAAAAGGTACTTACATAACACTAATCCAATTTAAATACACATTTTCAAGCATATAACTTGTTTTAAAAAGGCTTTAGATGTGTTTGAAGCCTTAAAACAGGCGAAAAATTGCTTAGCCAAACCAAAATTTACCCCTGTGTAAAATACAACTAAAACCTATAATATTTACCAGTACTACTGCAATAAGGTGACCAGATGTCTCACTTTTGGCAGGGCAATCCCGATTTTTAATAATTTGTCTTGCGCCCTGCTGTGTTTTAAAATTCCTGATTTTTGGAATGAATGCACGAAAAATTTAAGAATGACAGGAGAACGAAAAGAGAATAAATTAATTTTGGTGGACATGTGGCTATTTAGCCAGGATATGAGTTTTATATTATTATTGTTAATTTTATAATGTTAAACGTTAATAATACCGAATAATTGTTGAGAACTGCTCAGCAAAGTTCAGATTGTTAACGAGTAGTTAGAATTCGACCACCATGGTTTGGAGATAATAAACAATTCGAAAATGAACTTTTTAATTAGTTATCCTTATTTAAAAATATATTGATAAGGAAAAGGATAAATCCTGGGCATCAGCAAGTTAACTTCATTTGCTGCTTCAATTACCGAAATTTAGTCACCTTGAACAAGTTCTATAGTATTTTGAAAAAGAGCTGTTTGATAGTGTACAAACTGCTGGCACAAGACATCTAAGTCATAAAAACAGTGTTATTATTGTTCATAAATTAGATGTCAAATACATCATCAAATTATTTGCTATCAAAAATACGTCTTTAGAACTAAATTATCAACCTTATTTCAGCTGAATACTACGTTTCTGTATATATTACACCAGATTATCATTATGTAAAATTAATTATTGTAACAACAAATTTGGACCAAGTGTTTTTAATCAAGAACTCCCCTCTCCGCCCAGTCAATCAAAAAAGTGTCTCGGTCTATCAATGTAAAAATCTGGTCACCTTACACTACAAATCATGAAGGGTCTTGGGTTCAGTATTATGTAGGGAAATACTGTTTTTTTAAAGCCAATGGTTGTGCAAGGACCACACTCAACTGCCAGGTTTCCGCTCTTAATTAATTATTTAAATAATAGTATCCACTTTAAAGAGGCTGGGTGTTCTCCAGGAGGGTCTTTCAACCCCAGAGTCGATCAACCACAAATGAAAAATTACTTGTCATCAGCCGGACTCGAACCTGGGACTTTGAGCTTTGGAAGTTAGTACTTACCTCAGAGCTACACTGCTCCCTATAATATTTACTCTGTATTGAAATAAAAATTGAGTGTTTTTAACAATCACAACAATGTATTTTCTCTTTAAAAATACAAAATACTTTACTCATCCCTACTACATTAATTAATCATTTTAAATTAGAACACATTAGCCAACATCCGAAATAATGTTGTCCATAGTGGTAAATTATTTACTAGTTTTGACTAATATAAAAACCAACACTACTGGGTCCAATTTAAAAAATTTAAAGTTTACTTCAATATCAGGATGTTCCACTTCCCCCTTTTCTTCATAATATAAACCATACTCTCCTAGTCCTTCATTAACATTGAATCTATCTTTAGCGAATTTATCCTGTAATTTCCTGTATGCATCTTCTACCTAAAATAGTAAAGTATACTTTAATACAATTTTCGATAATAAAGAGTGCAGATTCAATGAAATAATGCACACTTCTTGAAATTTGACAGCATTTGCATATGGAGACTTACTATCTGGATGGTATTTTTTCACTAATTCTATAAAAGCTAACCTGACTGTCTCTTGATCACTATTAATTGGAACACCCAAAGTAACAAAACAATTCTGCACACAAAAACAGCAACATCAGTAATAAATATTGGTCAGTGAATAGTTTGTAACTTACTTTTTAGTCCATGTAACTTACAGCTACTTCTGATCTAGTTGAAAAATGAGAGGCAGCAATTCTACTGACATTTCCTTTAGGAAAGATTGCTCTATGTAAATTGGAAATAAATAACTCCATAAATTAAAAATAAAATTAAAGGTAGATTCAAAAACCAAAATTTGGAAATGATCAGTACATTTTAAAATGTCCTAATACAAACAGTGTATGTCTTATCATAATAAAATTGATAAGACGAAGGAATGACAGGTAACATCTGATTTCGTTCACAATTTTTTTTAAGGTTGTGTAATTTTTAAAATGCATAACAGATGTGATTTATTTTTCAGGTAATTTTAACCTATTTCAAAAATTAAGGTTTCAGTTTAAGACGTTTGGATATATCTGAAGTTTATACATCCGTGAATAATGGATGAAGAGAAAAGTTTGGACTGTGATTGTTTTTCAAGCGGTTATCGATGTTATGAAGTTGGCTCTGTTTGAATTTCTTAATTTAATTTAAATAAATTAAATTAAAGATATAATTTCTGCTTGAATTCCCTGCAGTTCGAGAGCCCGTGCAAAAATATCGAAATGAAGAAATTTTTTAAAATATTTTATTGAATATTCATAACATTTATATTTAACAAATAAAAGTCTGCCAGTCAGATCATACTATCTGCAAAAATAGTGACTGATTTAAAAAATAAATAGGTCAGTAATCTGAAGATCAAAACGGAAAATTAATTGAGAAAAACGTGAGAAGTTTTTATTTTTTTAAGTTGTATATATATGGGTTCAAACATGTAAAAAACAAAATTCCTAACGCAAGCCACCAAGGGACAGATTTTTTTTTTTTTTCACTTATAACTCGTAACTGTGAATCGAAGCAGGAAACGTACTCTTTAAGAAATTAAATAACATTCAATTGTGTGTTGATCGAGTACCTAAACTTAATAATTTGGTTTAGAAAACAACGGTTAACAAACTCTGATTTTTACCAAATTGGTAAAAACTTTATAAACTTAAACTAAGACGAATTACTATAAATGACCTTTCAGCTTGGAAATGAATTCCTTTACAGAAATAACTCAACAGTTGCAGAGCATCAAAATCTGCGTCCACTAAGCACTAAAATATTTAATGTAGGTCAATTATACCTCTCGAATCTGGATTCATTAATTCTTCATACAATTCGTTTTTTTTTTCTTAAGAGTTAAATGTAATGGTGTAGAAGACATGGGTGCGGATAATTGATATTTTTAGGGGAAGTGGAGATGACGTCATTGCCCGGGGGCTTGAAGGGCTACATTGGATACCTCTTGCGATCTGTCTACCTCCATTATCATGTCAGGAGTATAGCCCAGTCAAATTGGACATGTTAGCTTGCAAAAAGTCGGGTAATTCAAATTTCTTTTTTATATTGTTAGGTCTGTAATGAATACAAAAAATCCAAGTTTCCACCCTTGAAAAATAAGATTTCGATGTTGGGGTTGAGGTTGTTGTTGTGGTAGGGCTTGGCATTTATCGATTGAGTTCTTACGTCTACGTACTTGGGAGAATTATACACTATTGTTCACAATTCTGGAAGGCTCTCTCTCTTCTTATTCAACTGCTTCGAGTTGAATCCGGTTTTTCTGGTGTCTATATTTGAGATTCTTGTAATTTTGGCAGCCTTTGTAGTTGGCCGGGTGTTTCTCCAAGCATAGGGCACATACTGCAGGATCTTGTATTGGTTTGATGCACTCCACATATTTTCACGTATTTTATTCGGCCAAGATCGTAGTGTAACTTTTAATTTTATTGTTTTTTCCAACCGTCATACAACAAACTATAGTTAAACATAATGAATTATAATGAATGAAATCGATTGAAAAGGTTGCGAGATAATATACGCAGTGGTAATGACAACAATAAAGGTACGCACTCATCGTACAGGAAGCGGATTCATAGAGGGATGCTCCCAAACTGGTCGGTTTATCCGCTGGTGGCTGTCCTTTATCTTCATGGCTACCACTATTCTCTGAAGAAGTTTTCCCACTGTTCTCTCATTTCAACGCTTAAATTTGTGCTGTTATGTTTTTAGATTGGTAATAACATCAAAGTAATGGAACAAAGTTTGGAAAATACATGAATGTACTTCATTGCTAACAAAAGCTAAAAAAATATATATATAATTCAGAATGCTTTAGTTATTTTTTCTGAGTGGAAATAAATTTCAATGTCATTTTACGCAGGTTTCGAAAGAAAAAAAAAAAATTTACTAGAAAACTGAGTGTGAGACACTAAGTGGTAATGACATTTTAATAGCTTAAAGTTGTCACACTTAATCATAAAAACACATTATTTTTTAATATTTCATTATGAAGAAGCAGTTCTCCATCATATAGCAGGGAGGGAGAGGGAAGGAGAAATCAAGTTAGTCTAAACTAATCACGTAGAAGTTGTAATGGACTAAAACTTGCCCCTAAAATGAGAATTACCCATAAACTTTTAATTTGTTTTCTAAATTTGAAAAAAAGCATTTAAAATCTACCGAATCAAGCCAATGTCATTGTTCAAAATAGTATTTCATTGTACTTGTGTGAAAGAATAAGTAAAATATAAAAATATTTCATGGATGTGTTTATAACCTTAAATACATTTACTGTAGTTTAAAAAAACAAAACATCAAGTAACCTTTTAGAAAATTAAATTAGTGAATAATTTGAAGAATTTTCCCTTTGTGAAATCCCAACATCACTTAGAGTGACAACTTTTGATCTATCCATGGCAGGCAATGAAAATCTCGTAATATCATTTTTGTAAACTTTACAGTGAAAAATAACAGTTTAATAACTAACAATCTTTTGATCCATGATCATTAATATGTTAAATATTCAGATGTACTTTCAAATCTCTCTAGATATATATGACCCTTTCGGTTGACAGACTAACTCAGATTTCAACATTCTTTATTATTACTTATAGAGATATTTCTAGTGGCAAAATTTATACCTTTATTCACAGTACTATATTTTAATACTGCAATCACCAACTCTAGAATAGACTTACTCACTGTCTGTATAGATATAACTTTTCCAACTAGAAATATCACTAAAATGACATTACTCAAAAATGTTGAAATTGGAGTTAGTCATTCTGTCAACTGAAAGGCTCAGAGACTGAAGTTGTGTGGTTTATAAAATCAAATGGAGTAACTAGAACTTTATTGCCTATCGGTGTTGGTCTTGCACTTTACAAGGCCAAGACCAAAACCGCCTAACTATTTGCAAGACTGGTAAAAAAAAAAAAAAATTATTGAATAAAAATTAAGGAAAAATAGAAACTAATACTTGGCAATTTTAGTTACTATATGTAAATAATTGGGATAACCAATATACTTTTGATTTAATAATTTTTCTAATTTTAATGGTCTTAATGATTTGTTATCTGTAAGGTTTAAGCTTTAGCTCCGCTTAAAATGCACTTCAAAAATTTTATAATAGCCCAACATTGCCAGAAAATAATTTCGATTCAAAGTAGAGCGGTAAGTGAAAGTTGTGTGTTGCGCGCACCAGATTTTTTTAAAAACATGAATGAAGTTTTAAATTAAATTTCTTTTCCTGGTACATATTAATTACCGAGAAAATAAGAATTAAATCTCCCATCTTATTATAAGTTGCATAATTTAGATTCCTTTTATTTTGTTATTCATTCACTGACCTTAATGACTTACTTATTTAATACTTTGCAAATTCTTAGCACAGTCCCACTAGTTACAATTAATTGTTTAACATAATACATTTTTCAACTAACGTGTTAATAATAAAATCGCCTATTGGTAATATTTCTAATAAGATCAATTTTTTTAACCTTTATGGCGAGTGCGCTCCTGAATGCTCTATATATTATTATAGATCAATGTAATAATTATTAATTATTTTATTATCTACACATTGTTTTTATTCATATTTTAAATGAGGAATTACTGACATTAATAGTTAGAGCAAGCCTTATGAAGAGTGGAAGACGAAACTTTCAAAATTCATAAAAGATTAGTATAAAATGCATTTTAATATAATCCAGGTTTTCAAGGAATTTTTTTTGTAAATAATACCAATATTTTCAATCAATTAAGAATGTTCGAAAAGAAAAGACAAAGAAAAGAACTTGCATTCCAACAGAAGGTCACACACTGTAAAGTTATTATGTAATCAAAACAAGAACTTGTTCTGATCGCCTTCCAGAAAAACAAACATTTATTCAGTAGATATACCATTCAATATGTCAGTGTTAAAAGAAAATGATATCACAGTGCTGGAATATATATTCAATCCCAACATATCGTTTGACTTAGGAATAGAAGAAGATGAAACTCTGAGCGCAGAAGGTAATGTTTTAAAATAGTTCATAAATAATGAATAAAGTTCTCGTTTAAAATATTTACACTGACACAAAAAAAACTCATAGATGAACAAGATAGTGCGGAAATGCGCAAAGCTCGAGAAATAGAACTGGAGGGAATCAAAGCTGCAGAAAAAGGAGAATTTGAAAAGGCAATACAAATTTTTACCACATCTATAGCGACTTGTGAGAATGCATCTGGTTATAACAATAGAGCACAGGCATACCGTCTTCTAGGAGAGGATTCCAGTAAATATGATCCTTTTTAATATATAGGACTGAATTATTATGTTTTAAGATTGGTTATTTTGAATATAAAAAATTAGTGAACATAATTATAGAAAAATGTAAATATTTTATTTTTAATCCATCTTACGGATGAGAACGTCGTAAAATATTTTTTATTCGGATCGGATAGCCATTAACAAACCGGAGAAAGGAAGAAATTAGGCCGCATAATTAAAGAGCTCCTCACATGGTCAATATTATTGAGTCAATATGGATTTTCACCAATATATTCACCCCCCTCCCCTCCCGCCATTTTTATTTTTACGCAAAATGACAATATTTTATGGCATTTAACGGTTTCAATATTACTTTTTTTTCTTTCAAATTATTGTCTTCAATTATATTGCTTCAATAATATTGGGGCCGTTAAGAGAATTCTATGACATTTTATTCAAATTTTGTTAATTAATGGTAACTTTTCAGCAGAAAATCATTTCATTTTTTATACAAACACTCGACGCTTGATTACAAAATTTAATTTCCTATTATCATGATATATACAATTTATGCTTGATAAAAAATAAATAGAATAATAAAACGTGATAAGTGGAAAATAATTTAGGGAGACATGTTTAAATGCGTTTAGAAATTTCACAAACTATGGGAAACACAATTATCTAACTTAACTAACAGAGAAATCAGATCTATGCCAAACTTTTTACTTCCACTCACTTATATATGTAATATAAACTTTAAATAAAAATAGAGTTTGCTTTTGTTAAAACCGTTTAAAGAGGACTTTGGAACTGCTAAACTCAGCTAAGAAGTGGGAGGAGATGGTAGTGGTGGGGGAAGGGTAGGGGTGGGGAAAGCACCTAGTACAGAGGTGCGCCCCCTGGGATAATACCTGGGATAATACCTCGATGAGCAGTCCCTCCCTGTTCAAACAGAAACTGTAAGGCTCCAGGCCGCTAAAGAGAAAAATGCACACAGCAGACCCTATCTCTCATACCTTAAAATACCTACGGGTAAAGAAAGGCTCTGAAATTTGTATATGTATATTGTAAATGTATCAATAAAAATTCCTGGGGGGTGAGAAAAAAAAAAAAAAAAGAAAAAAAAAAAAAAAAAAAAAAAAAAAAAAACTGGGATAATACCTGGATCCGCCACTGACCCGGAAGTCTCATATTTTTACGTGGTCGTCCTGCTGATCTACTTCTTGCGGACCTGCTCTCATATATTTGGTGTTTGACTCATTTATTGAAAGACCCACTCTTTATGCCGCTTCCTGTATAGCGAGAAATGCCTCCTTCATAGATGCTAAGCTTCTTCCTATTATGTCCAAGTCATCCGCAAAGCCAATGATTTGAGCCGATTTTGTAAATAATCTGTAGACCTGAGCTTCTAACAGCACATTCCAATACCATATTAAAAAATAATCAGACAAGACTGTCATCCTGCCTAAGGCCCTTGTACGTTTCAAAATCATTAGAAAGTCCTCTACCTACTTGGATAGTACTCTCCACACTCTTCATGGTCATCTTTATCAAACGGATCAACTTTGAGGGAGTTCCCAACTCTAGCAGATTTTGGTATATCTCTTCCCTTATATTACTGCCATAGGCTTTCTGAAAATCAATAAAGAGGTGGTGCGTGGTAATATTGTACTCTCTGACTTTTTCTAGGATTTCTCTTATTGAAAAGATCTGATTCACAGTCCCTCTAACTCTCATGAATCCAGAGTGGTAGAATGTACCTGCCTGGAACAATTCAATTTCTTTCGCGGATATTGGAGCTTAGTTTTTGATATAGCACCCTTGAGAATACTTTGTAGCTGTTAGAGAGCAGAGATATTCCTCGGTAGTTCCTGTATTTCGGTATGTCTGCTTTCTTATGTGTTGGACATATGATTGTCATATATCGTACAAAGATTTATCCACTTTTTCTCTTCCATTTTTCTAAAGTTCTCCGTGAATACCGTCTGCTCAGGAGCCATGGTGCCTTATTATTTTGAATGTAGCTTATCGCTTCTTGAACCTCCTCGTAATCTGGTGGCTCAATCATCATACGGTTCAAGGTTTCGTTATTTTCGATCCATTAATTCAGTAAACAGAAGTTTTCCCTGAGCTTTTACGCGTTGATCCTTTTTCCTTGCTCCCAACAACTGATGTGAAACATCAAAAACAAGAAGAAAAAAACACTTTGTCATGGTTTATGAAATGTCTAAATGCACAGTGCCGGCCTTAGATATTCGGCGCCCCCCCTCCCCGGTCAATCACGTCATCTCCCCCTCCTAAAAATACATTGATTTCTTAAGCTGTTTTATATCATGTAATAATTGAATTCTATTTCATCCAACATTTGTCTAATGTAGTTTCTTTATTAATAGGCTAAAATTACTTATTGTAATATGTTTACTAGTTGGGAGTGCCCCTGAATATCGGTCGGCGTCCCGGGGGCTATTGCCCTATCCTAAGGTCGGCACTGTAAACCCATCTTAATATTCTATCGAAGAAATGATAAATTATCTAGAATTATTAATAACATTATTCCTATTATTAATTTAAAATTCTAAACTTAGATAACTGTTATGATTTAAATTGGGGGAGAGGGAGAGGGAGATGATTACCCCTGAATTTACCCATATGATTACCATTTAAATAAATATTAGTATATCGATTAAATATTTTATCAAAATATTTCAGTGTGACGTAGTTTATAAAAATTAAACCTTGTACTTTTCGAAGATTTTCAGAAATTTAGTTTGTTTATAACAATGTTAAATGTGAATAGGGGCTTTAGATGATTTATACAATGCACTTAAACTGTGCAAAGTAAAGAGCAAAGTCCAATGTCAAGCACTTTGCCAAAGAGCGCTACTTTATCGAAAATCAGGTGATGATGAGAAAGCTAGAGAAGACTTCCAATTGGCAGCAGAGAATGGAAGCCAATTCGCTAAGAAGCAGGTATACACAAATATGTATTTATGATAATGGATAATTGTTAACTGTAGCAGATATATTGAAGACTAGTTGGTTGCGGTTTTCAGTCAGTGAAAGTGCAAAGGAAAAATAAGTAAATTATATTTATAATTATTTCCCTTATGCCGATGTTTTAGTCCTTCGTCAGGGCTAAGCAAAGACAAGATAACATAAAAAGATTGAGAAAATAGTAATGATATGTAGATAAAAAAGTATGGCCAAATAATATGTAGTTAAACTTAATATTAATAAATACTTGAAATGGCAAATATATAATATATGTTATTTTGTCTTTGGTTGGTCCTGATAAAGGTCTGAAACTTAGGCCGAAACGTCGGCACAAAGAAAATAAAAATAAAGATAATTTATTTATTTTTACTTTGTACTTTCATTGAATTCATAGGAAATTTTTTGATTTTTAGGAGATTCATTGATTTTTTCACAGAGTATTTGGAATTAGTAAACCTAACATTTTGCATTTTATCTTTTTTTAGCTATCTATACCTGTCATGAGAGATATCAATATTGTTTAAAAATTTTTGAATGTCTAAAAAAATTTTTATATTTATTAAATTTTGGGTTTTTTATTTTAAAGTCACATTGCAACGACAGAAAGAAGAAGAAACAGTCTCGTTACTCGTAATGAAAATGCTTTGAACCGGTCCCAGGAAACCATTCCAGTTATGGAACGATTTTTCTTGTTTGGAGCAGCCTTGAATTCCACCTCTGGAATGGTTTTCTTGTTCGAGCGGCCTTGAATTCTACCTCTTTTGACGATTTTTCTCGTTCCATGGGGCTTTTGGAATTCAGTTCCAAAGGGATGTGAACGCTTTTAGGATCCATTATATTCCGTTTTCATTCCACTTGTGTTGTTATTTTTAGTTTAAATTAATTACATTGTGTGCATAACAAAAAAGGAAAAGTAGAAAACAGAAATTCATTATTTTTTTTTAACTTGCTGTAATATTTAATATTTAAGTAAAATATACAGAGATAAACAGACTTCCAAATAAAAAAGCTCTTGGCTATGATCTGATCAATCCCTTTATTCTTGGACACCTACCTTGAAAAGCTGTTCTCTTTTTTGCACACATCTATAACTCCATCTTACACACTGCCTATTTTCCGCTCCTTTGAAAACTTTCCATGATTAAAATGATTCCTAAACCTACCATTACTCCTTCATCCTATTGTCCTACAGCACTTTTTCCTATAATGGGAAAAATATTTGAAAAACTTTCCTGAACCGCCTAAAGCTTATCCAAGAATGTAGTGAAGTGATACCAAATCACCAATATAGCTTTCGCTGTTTTAACTCCACTGTGGGACAGTGCCATCGGATAGTAGACGCTATCTCTGTTACTTTTGAGAAAAAGGAATACTGCTCTGCGGTCTTTCTTGATATAGAGAAAGCATTTGATAGTGTCTGGCACAATGGCCTATTATGGAAATTAAAACCGCACTTACCTTCTACTTATTTTCTAATTCTTCTATCCTTCCTTCTTCCCTCAACACATTGGTGTACCACAAGGTAGCGTCTTAAGTTCAATTCTCTAGTCGATATACATCTCTGAGCACCCTAGATCCAACAACTATTGTTTCGCTGACAACACTGCAATTCTTTCTTCCCAAAAAAATCCTATCCCATCAATCGCCCTTCAAAACTGGTTCAAAAAATGGAAAATTAAAATTAACAGCAGCAAATCCACCCAAGTAACTTTCTCTCTTAGGAAAGCCTTATGTCCACCGATAACAATTGACTATAACCCAGTGCTTTCAAAAAACTATGTACGGTACCTCAGACAATAAAATTAAAAAGACAAGAACTGTCTAGATGATATAACCAACTCTACAGATCCTCACTTAACTTACGAAACAAGTGACTGATTTACAATACCATACAAAGACCAATTTGGACATATGGAGCAGAACTTTGGGGTTCGGCAAAACAAACACACAATAAAAAATTGTCAACACACCTTGGAACATTTCGAATAACACACTTAAAGACTTAAAAAAAACAGTAAAATCCTACATCCACGAAAAATACAAATCATTTCATTCTCCAATTCTAAAATCACATCAATCCATTAGTCTTTCTATTTCCTGCTCTCTGATTGACGCAGACTAAAAAGAAAATGGCCAAGAAACCTGCTCCTTCAATAATAAGAAAAATTCGCAGCTAATGGCAAATACATCATATTTGCTAGATGAGCTGCAGCACAGGTGCAAATGTTAAAATAAAAGTAAAATTAATAAGACAAATATACAAATTTTACCAACCTAAAACTAGCTTTTTTGAAGAATTATAATTAAATAAAAAACTAAAACGGTAAAATCATAATACAGATTAATTAAAATATTGGAATTTAAAAACAACAATTGTTTTACTTTATCGCCTGATAGTGGTTAATCAACATGTCAACTTTAAAAAAAATCATTAGTATAGAACCGAAGTGGCGACTATTCTCTACATTTCTTTGGCAATGATGTACAAATAAAGGTAGTTGTTCTGCAGACCAAATCACCAGTTAATAGGATCTTCCTTGTTGCCTAAAATATCTTTTTTTAAGTACCAGTTTAATTCAGGTGCCCCTTCCTTACAGAGAATGTTGCTCTAGGGGTCAGTTCGTTTTTTTCTCCATTTTCTTTTGTCTCCATGATTTTTCTGTCGTTTTAAATAGTTTTAGTATTATGCATAATTGCTTTATTCTCTATCTCATTTTAAGTGTTGCTCAGAATGAATATGTTACTAAACATTTTATTGGTGAAAATCAATAATTATCAGCATCTTGACTTTTGTTTTGTTAAGAAATTTATTGGTACCAAGCAACCACCAATAAAGAAAAAAGAAGATTCAAGTGGGAAGAGCAAATGGACATTTATGTAAGTTTGGTGCCTCATTAAATTAATGAGAAATTGTCTCATTTCTGAAAATTTTTGTAGAATGAAAAGTTGTAGGTAAAAATAACATGAAGCCATTTAGGAAGTTTTAACAGGATGTTAATATTTGATAAAAAAGAGTCTGTATCAGTCAGAGACTAGTAAGTGTGTAATAACAATCGGGATGGATAAATGAATAATTGTTTTATGTATTTATATTGATTAATTGGTGTTTATAGTACAATTAACTTTTTTCTCATAACTTTACAGCTGGCAGAAATGAATCCTTATGCAGCCATGTGCAACCAGATGCTACATCATATGATGTTGAAATTGAATACTTCAGACAATAATTCATAAATATTACAAAAGAAAATTTTGTATCTGTTATTAGAAAAGGATAAAATAAATCAAAGAAAATTGAATAGTAGTTATATATTTGTAGATAATGAATAGCAGTACTACAAGAAGTATTAAAGTTCAAATTAATACAATAGAAAAGTACATATGACTAAAATGTGGAATGATAAGTATTCTGCAGCAATAATTAACATCACTTCCTTTTAAAGCATTCTTTTGTGCTTTAATTATTAATTATGCTGTCTCATTCCTAGTACGCAAGACAATCTTTCAATAATACATTATCTACTAAATGAGAATTAATAAATTTAAAAAAATAAGTAGAACAACATATACACTCGAAAACTTTAAAAATAAAACCTAAAACGATTAGGTATGTATATATATCAAACAAACTTTTATCTCCAAATACAGTCCTATTCCAATGGTGAATTAAATGAACGTCAGATTACTTTGATTTTAAATCACCATTTATATATTTTATTTTATCTTAAAAAGATTAAAATAAAACTATGCCATAATATCTGTCAAAAATAATCGAAGAATGAAAATAATTTACAAATATTTACAACTAATTAATAATCACTGTGTAATCTAAGTAATCCTATACACATTCTCTTTTGATAAGTAGTTTTAATATAGAGATCACATTAAAATTAATGTGACATTAAGGAACAAAATATATTATAAATATCTAAGAAATATGAATAAAACTAAAACCTTCAAATTTATGTGCTAAATTAAGTGAATAAATAAATATCAATTATAAAACATGGCATTTTTTTTTTTTTTTTTTTTGCAAGACAGAATCAATTAAAACAATAAAGCACCAGAGAGTAAGATAAATATAAATAAAAAAAAAAAAAAAATTGACCAGGTCATTTGACCACATAAGTAGTATGAAAGCCCGTGTTATGCTAGAATGGTACCAGCAATAGAAAATATGAAAATTTCCTGCTTTAATTTTTTTTTATTAGTAAGAAAGTGACAGTATAATCAAAGAAACATATATTGCTCCTTTAAAATATGTCTATTCGTATTTCCAAATAAATATTTAAGAAGAATAAAAAAATATCTTCTATACTTTGAGATATATAGTTGCTGGCGAGGATTTCTCGATCCGTTTTGAACCTAAAACAAATAAAGAGTTAATATAATTTTTTTATTTATTTATGAAGAGATACTCAACATCGCAAAACGTACATGGAAAATTATGAATTTAGATACTAAAATTTACAATCATATGAAACTATACCATATAAATTAATTCTTAACCTTTCTAGATAACAGGCAAACAGAATGTAAGTCATCTTGTAATTTATTTCTATATTCAAATTTTGATGTAATAAAATATATACATAGTATGTATTTGATGTAGTAAAATATACAATTAATATTAGTCCATGGTACGGACCCCTTTTATCAAATTATTAATATTCATCTAAAAATTTGTTAAAAACTGAAATTCGAAAATTTTCACGATTGCAATACATTCCTTTAATATTTTATATACCAAATTTCATAGACAGGTAAGTGAAAGTAAAAATTTAAAAATCAATAAATGGAACTACAAGGCTTAATAATAAAAATAAAAACCAACACATTTGAACCTATTGTTGCGCTTCAATTTCAGCTTTGTCAACTATCTCAAAATCTTTTCCAGTCTGGCTCTGTTGGCTGCTGCTTTCAGATTCACTTCCGCTACCTTCATTTTTTTCTTCGCCCTCTTCTTTCTCTTCAATCCTTTAAAAAAATTAATAATCTGTTTAAGAAAAACTTTTACTAAATACCAATAAATAGAATAGTCACTTAAAATAATTAATCACAAGATTGAAATATTTAACAAAATTAAGTTAAACTATTTGGCCTGTGCAAATGATTCACACAGTATAATTGTCAGTGATCAAATGACAAAATAACAATAAAATAAAATAATGCAAGTATCATAAGATGGCGAAATCAATTCTTGTTTTCTCAATAATTATAATGGACCGATGAAATGAAAATTAATTTAAAATTTATTTCATGTTTGATACCAAAATATTTACAGATTAAAATAAGCAGTTTCTTTGCTAATAATAAGACTGATTTCGACAATTATACTCATGCTATAGCTGTATGCCAAATATACAGTTAATACCAAACAAAAAGGGCTATCAAAGAGAATGTAAACCGATAATTAGAGCACAAAAATAAATAAATAAAATAAAACAAAAAAATGAAATAAATGCTCGGTGCTCATTATAGAGTAAACAATAGATTTAGGTTTTTTGAATGAAAAAATAAAATGTACTTAAATACCTTACGCGGAATCACAATATAAAAACTTTATTTAATTGAACTCTTTGACATATATTATATATATAATGAATATATTCATTATAAAATATAACAAAATATAAAAGAGGATATATATATGCACCAAAAAATTCCTGTACATTTTCTTTTTTCTTCATATTTTTCCTGAGAATTTTTCTGTATCTCATATTTTCTCTGTATAAAAATATAAGCTCCTAAACATAAATATATGAGATTGAAAAAAGAAGGGTGTTTTTTCTTACTTTCAAAATTATTGCACAGCCTACCTATTTAAACATGGAAATGAAACTTGAATGCTATTCATTGATTTTCAGGCTGCCTAGTTAACTAACTCGATTAGTAAAATGCAATATGATGAGCAAAATCTGCTGAGTAAAATCCTGTGGGTTATCAGAGCTTTTTGCGTGAAAGGTGGCCTAAGAGAGGGAGATCCAATAGCTCCTTTCCTGTTTATTATCAACTACTAGCAATCGTAAAATCAGGAAGGAACAATATTTACAAAAATGAATCAAGTTTTGGCTTATACAGATGATGTCGAAGCACAAAAGATGGACCTGCATATTAATTGGGAGAAATCTAAGATTATGGTATTGGCTAAGATATCACTGGATCAGAAGCAGAGTCACTTTGTAATGGGTCCCTACCACTTCTAAGTGGCCAGAAGCTTTCTTATCTTGGCTCAAACATCAACGATAACCAGAATGAAGAAGAGGTTAAAAGCAGAATTGCAGCAGGAAATAGAGTCTATTTCTCCATTTTAAGGCTAATCAAAAGAAAACTTGTTAGCCGTAGTGCCAAGTTTGCTGTAGAAGACGCTGATAAAGCCAATTGTCACATACTGTGGAGAAATATGGATCCTAACCAATAAAAGCATTCAGCTGCTAGACAGGTTTGAAAGGCTAATTCTGAGGAGAATCTTATGGTCCGTATGTGAGAATAGTAATTAGCAAAGAAGAAAAAATAGTGACCTACCTGTTTAGACTCTACAAGGAATCTAGCATCTTTACGTATATCAGGGTGCAGAGGCTTAAGTAGCCATGTGATGAGGATAAGCGAGGAAAGAGTGGCTCATAAATTGTACATTAATGTTCTGGATCGTGTGCGCTGACATGTTAGGCCCAAGGGCCGATGGAGGGATGCTGTGGGACAGGATCTACGACAACTGACGATTCCTGTTATCCTTATAAAAGATAAAGAAAGATGGTTAGCGGCTGTTGAGCAGGCCAAGGGCAGCTTCAGGCCTGTTGAGCCAATAAAAGAGGAAGAAGAAGAAACTTATCAGAAACTGTTTATTACCCTCCACATACACACAGGTTATGACGTATGAGGGGCTTATTTTTTAACATTTATGATCATTCGTATTATAATTAAACCTTTCTTAAGTAATTGACAACAGATTAGTATTTGATATTAATTAGGAATTTTGTGACATAGATAGGAAATTTAGATTGACATTGATTTTGTATAGTTGATAATAAATAATAACATGCCTTAAAACCTACAAACTTTTTATTGCTTTTATATATTTTAAAAATTTATTTAACCTGATGAAGGACCGAATCTGGTTGCAATAAATAATAAACAATTTATACAGGAGGAAAACGTCTTTTAATTGAATTTTATTATTTTAATTTATTATAATTGTTGGATGTTTGGAGAAATGTTCCTCTCATGATCAGAAATACATTATTTATTGTCTCTCTATCTTTTTATTTATTTTTTGGCAAATCATAAACGAAACAAAAGAAAAATGACAGACGACCTTGTTTACACTTTTACAAGAGAAAAAAAAAATTCAGGTACTTTTGAAAAATTCCTGTACATATTCAGATTGCTGGACATCAGTGTAGGGAAAAATTTATCTTAAATAATAGAAAATAGATAACAAATAAATTAAAGTTATAAAATTTGAACAATTTAACTGTAAATTACTTTTGCATTGTAAATTACATGCCATTCGAAAAGAAAAAAATGGCGGTAAAATTTAGTTTGATTTTTCCCATTTCCAACAATTTTCCGGCTATGTAGAGGTAGGCAAAAACAATCCTGACAGATCCAAATAAGACCATAGAACGGTGGAAGGAATATTTCAGCAAGCTACTAGAATCGGACATAAAAACGACAGAGGAAGAACAGCATTCTGGAAACATATTTAGAGGATACATATTTGGATGAAGATAAAATTTTGGAAGTCGTAGCCGAACCTAAGATGAGAAAGGCAGCATGAAATGATAGCATAACATCAGAAGTAATTAAGAACGAAAATGCTGCAGCACCTTCTCAATCTGGCATGGAAGACATAAGAAGATTCCAAAAGACTAGGAAGTCTCCACAATTGTTCCTATATTTAAAAAAGGAGATAATAAAGAATGCAAAAATCACAGAGAAATCTCACTTCTGAGCATCCCTAGTAAAGACTATTAAAAACTAAAAAACAGTATTGTGAGGATTTATTCACAATAGTCCTTTATTTTATTTATTTCTCTAAAGCAACATTTCAGACCTTAGGCCATTTTCAAGCGAATAAACTTATTTTTAAAATAAAATAAAATTCACATGGGCTGAATAGCCCTTGTCACATCAATTTAATAGCCTAATACTATTAGTATTACCATGAGAACTTAATTTAATTTTAAAATAGGTTTCTTCCATTGAAAATGGCCTAAGGGCTGAAATGTTGCCATAGAAAAAAATAAATAAATAGGACTATTGCGATCTAATAAGCGTTTTTATTATAACTAATAGTGAAGTCCTAACCAACAAGATATATATATATTACCTAGTGTCTTCAACTTCTTCTACTACTTCAACAACTTCAGGTTCTTTCTGGTCGGGTTCTGGTTCATCTTCATTATCAGACAACTTTTCTTTCTTCTTTTTCTTTTTTTTGCCTGTTTCTACAGGGGGTTTGTATTCATACTGAAAATTAACAAAGTGACTATAAATATGTTTATTAATGTTATAAAAAAAACAGTTATAAAAATATACATCATGATGTTAGACCAATAAAACCATTTTAAGCAACAGATATGATGATAAATAATAGGTTAAAGCTAATATTATACTCAACAGTGGTCCTACTATTACATTATAAAATATGAACAAGGAAGCAAAAGCTCACTATGATTAATTGTAAACTAAAATACAGTACCAGTCCATTAAATGTTATGCCTGTATACAGGCCTTTCAGCTACTTGATCATTGCATGAATCTTTTCCAATCATCATTTCTTCTTTATTGTATGAACTTACTAATTAACACAATTCCTAATGCGTATTATATATTTTAATAGCTGTATTTTAAGTACTTGAACAAACCATGCTAGCTATTGCAACAATACTTAATCGCTGTTTTTTTCTTTCTTCTTGCTGATTTCTCATGGCTCTGATGACCAAAAAAAATTCTTTAACATACAAAAGAAGACATGGAAAAAGCCCTTGACAATGCTAGTCAGGCAGATGGCTGTAGCAGTCCCCTCAGGTAAAAACAGAATTCCTTGTATAAATATAAAAAATCTGGTGTGGTGCGCGCATCATGCAACTAACTTACTGCTCTTTTATTAAAAAAAAAAAAAAAAAAATGGAAATAAGTATTTTCAGACAAAGGGAAGTGAAAGTAAAAATTACTGCTGGTATAAAATATTAACTCTATATATTACATACGTACTCTTTTTTTTTTTTTTAATCAAAATCGTTAGAGCCGTTTTTGAGAAAGTTGTAAGATTGATGGTATAAAGTGGCACTTCTGGTTTGCTGATTTGGACAACAAAGTTGCTGCAATCCCCAATCCCAGGCATATACAAACCTCAAATAAGCAATTTCACTATGGTAGAACTTTTGGTTTTTGAGCTAGACTGTTAGCACACACACACAGCTAGTATTATTAAGTAGGTGGACATCTTTCAATCTCTAAACCAAAACAATTTTCTCTAAGTTCATACCATCTGAATTCAACAGTCCAACAACTATAGTTGAAGAATGCCTGTCACTTATCACTATCTTACTAGAAGAATCAAACTCAACATTATGCAAGAAATAGTGCTAATGAATTAATGTTGAAAATATAAAACTTGCTGACAATCTTCCTAGTTTCTGATGCGATACCAACGTGTTACAGAGCTCAGGGAATTGTCCTAAAAAATCATAGTTTAATAGCGGACAGAGCTTTGCTATAACCTAACAGACTAAACCAAACAAAAACCAAGAAAAGTTTATAAAATCTTTGGTAGACAAAAAAGATAGAAAAATCATAGCTTTTATATTTAAAACTTTGCATCTCCTATGGAATATATTCATGAAGTGTTAAAATAAACATAGAATTTTAGATGAAAATTTGGATTAATTAACATTAAAATAGCCTTTTCCATTAGTTTTGGGTACAAAATTAAACATATAAATTTAATGTCAGAAGCAGCATATTAGCTAAGAAGTTTTATCTTAAGAACCCGAAAAATACAATAACATCACTATCCAAAGTTTTACATATAAAAATTTTAAGAGCTTTCCTTTTGTGTACTGATGCATTCATCTTACATAAAAAAAAATTATGGCAAAATTTAATTTTAACCCTTTTCAAGCCAAGGTTTCCAAATGGATACTACAACTATGATTTTTTTTAATATATATTGAATCTATATCTGAAAAAGACAAGGAAAAGGATTGGGGGAAAAGGGAATTTTTTATTCCAACGGTTTGCTTGTAATTTTCGAAAAATATGAATATCAAGTGATGATGGACTTAGCGAAGGAGCTTCAAGAACAGGGTTTATTCCTTTCATTTTTTTTTATAAGTGCTTAGTAATTATAAGCTGATCAATATAAATAGAACATTTCCACCAATTAAATTTCACACTACGGTGAAATAATTTTTTGAATTATTTCCACAAAATCAGCGCAGGTTTCATTTTTGTTTATATTATACTTTTCATCCAACTATTTCTTAACAAATGTCTTCTTTTTCAAAGAGCAATTTTTTGAAACAGGGATACGTTTTTCTTTGATACCCAAGGAAAGACAGAACATCTGACTGTGATGAAGACGAAGACACACGGTCTTTGTTGTATTTTCAAATCATTAGGAAGTAGAACAAATACTTATCTGAGGAGTGGATATTAGGTCTAGAAATTGAATTGTGGAGTTCCTATAAATTGAAGAAATTAATATTTTACATACACAGATATCACTCTCTATAAATAAACCAGCATCTACAACAAATGAACAATCAACATCTGTTGTAAATTTTGCATCACAACATCTGACCAGGAGATGAAGGAGAAAGAATGCTGGCAACAGAAAATGAGTACATGACATGAAATGATAATTTCTAGTGGAAAAACAATATTTTTGTCGTAAGGTATAAAACTTTGTTTAAGAATTTGCCAAAGAAAAAGATTTTCTCAACTGGACTCAACTAAAAACCATACTTCTTCTGATTCAACACATACGAGGTATTTGACTATCTCATTCAGCAGTCTAACTTACATAGCACCTTATGGACGGGTCTGGTAGGAATTTTTATTGTAGCAAGCATGTTATGATGGATTTTATCACTGATGATGGGAATTGTCCTTAGCACCAGACCACTATTAGAGAGGGTTTCACTATGAAAAAGTAGTTTCCATACCCCCTATATCCAGATATAGGATTAAAAATTCATTTAATTTCCCTGATGATAGTCAGTTTTCTAGTGGAGACTGATTTTTGAAAATTAGGCCTGTAGTGTAAATTATAAGAATTAAAACTTATTAACTATTTACAATAGACCTTCCAGGATCACTCAAATATAATGTTATATAGTTCCTTAATTTTTTGCAGAGTAATTTAAATTATTAAATAAAAAAATAAAAATAAAAAGCTTCCCCCACAAAAATGAAAATCGGAATCTGCTACTGCATGAATGAATAGCGCTGCCCATCTCACAGGTGTCAGTATCTTCTTGTATTCTTCCTGTATCATGTGATCAGAACTTGGCGTCCATCCTATATACTACAGAGTCTGCAATTTAATCATCCATAAACCATCTCAACCACCTGATCTCATTCTTCTGACTCTATCCTGAACCCCACCAAACTGCTGTGTTTGACAAATCCTTCCTAACCCAACTGTCTCCTTCTGGAACCACTCTAATGGTTATGAAAATTTAAAACAAATTCTTTTATGTTATTTTGGCTTGAAATCAAACATTAAATGTAAAAAAAGAACTTAATTTAATTTTTCTTTTAAATCTTGGCCAGAAAAGGTCAAAATTACTTTACATATTAGAAAAATAAACCCAGATGGCAATCAGTTTGGCGATAAGAAAAATATAAAAATAAACATTTTAGAGTTATAGTAATTTAGTTTGAGTTAAGCATTATATAAGGAAATAGTAGATCAAATTAATTTTAATAATGTATCTTACCTTATAAAGAGGCCAGAAAGAAGCAAGGAAGCCAACATCTTCAGTCAAATTCGGGAAAAGCCATAGATGATGTCGACCAAGAGTAACAATCCACAGAAAGCAGAATACTATTGTTCGGACGACTGTCAAGAAAACCACAAATACAAGGAAGCCCGCAGCTGCTATACTAAGATAATAGACAATTAATCTGAAAAATAAACATAATAGTTTCTAGTTAGTGATTTACTTCAAAAATCTAATATTTAATAAAAACAGATAAAAAAATAATAAAAACAACTGCTGACCATGCATATTCAAAGATTAAATAACTGATGACCTAACTTTTATTTTTTAAAAAGATAGGTCTAGCTTTAAAATGTAAGAGTTACATAACCTAATGTAATGAATAAACAAACAAGGTTTAACTGTTTTGTTTTGTTCTTTCAGGTTCCTTGTAGAATGAAAGATTAGCTTAAAATTTAAAATACTTATAACTTCATCCGCCATTTTTTTAAACAAGAATTGAAGGGACTAGGATCGATCGACTGGTTATGTCATTGATAAAAATTTTATTAATTGACTTTATATAAATAAAAAAATTACTTGAATGGAGACTGATAGAAACCAGGAGAATGGTATAAATCATTAGAGAAATCAAATTAAAAATGATGATAAAAAACCTAACTCTGAATACAATCCTTAATCAATTCTATAATTGTTGAAAACCTCCTCCCCTGATTCATATTAAACATAACTGAACAGCTTAAATGTAATCATCAAACTGAAAAACAAATAAAATATCAACCATATATAAATAAAGTATTATTATTATAAATTTCAATTTATAAGCTAGTAAAGAACATTCAACAAATTTAAATAATATTTAATGAAATTGTTAAGATTAATTATTTATTATCATCAATTACCTAACAGATGGGGGCCACAATGGAAACAGACAAACACCTATCCCTGCCATAACAACAAGAGCTCCAAACAGCCAATAATGAGGAGGAATAGGTTCATAAATCCAAACATAAGCATCAAGATTATCTGCGAAAAACTGATCAAAATGCATTTCCAACCTCACCTTCTTCTTCTTCTTCTTTTGTCTTTCTTCCTCGTTCTCAGACACCTGAAATAGAATCATAATTAATTTGGTTGTACTTTATGCAGAAAGTAATACAAAAATTATATGATAATTATTTAGTGCGATAAGAGATGTATAAAAATTAGGATCAAAATTATAATTCGAAAGACATATAACAATTTTACCTAGAAAGTGGTTATGAAAACATTCATATCACAAAAGTATACAGCAAAACCAATAGATACACAATATTTGCTTCTAAATCCTACTTACTGCAAACAAATTATAATCAAATATAAAAGTCTGTTCGTAAACAAAGATGGTTTATTTATAGACAAAGAAATAGATATTAACTTGAACAACATAATATTCAAGATGTAGAAATTACTCAAATTTCTTAATATTAAATGTAAAGCAATATTAAGCCCTGAAGTCAAAGCCAAAACTATACACTCACCTCTTGACCTTTTCCTTCAGCATGACTGCTCTCTCCATCATCTTTTTTTTTCTTATCTTTCAGGCTTTCCTTTTTGTCTTTATCCTCCTTCACAGTTTTTTTATCCTTTTCATCTTTGGCACCCTTTTTCTTACCCTTTAATAATTCTTCATTAATAGGGACTTTTTTGGCTCGGTGGAAGAATTTGTTGTGAAGCATCCTAATCATAATAAAATTTATTTTAAGTAAATAATCTAGACACAATAGAAATTTAGAGTAACAATTAAAAAAAAGTAAAGAATGACTTACACATCTAAGAAATCAATACAATGAGCACGGGAAGTAAAGAATGGTTCATCCCCTTCTTTAATAGAAGTGCCCCAAGTAGAAGCCATAAGGGCATCAACAGCCTTTTTTCCTTAAAGCCATATAAAAATACAAATGAAAGTACAAATACTTTTAAATGCTATAAAGTCAAACCATTCAATATCTAGAAATACCTGTAAAATACTGAACATTGTGATTGAGAAACTTTGTTTTCTTTGTAGGCACATTATTCCTTAACCACTTGGCAACTTCGTACTCCTCTTTCGAGGGCTTGATTTCTTCAATAACTTCTGTTTCCTAAATCATAAACACAACAGGGTCAAAGAGAAACAAACAACCTACAAATAAGGTAGCAATACAGAGAACAAGAAAAACAATGAATACTATTACATACAAATTAATAGCAATAAAGAAAAGTTCCATTATTTCTTTTGTAACAGAGTAGAAATGCAAGTGATGTATTAAAAGGAAGTTCAAAAATAAATTGAAATATGTTTTAAACCACCGTTAGATGAACTACTTCTTAAAAACCGAATCAGAAATTTGATTTCCGACAACAGCTGTCACTTAAAGTTTACTAAATACCAAGCTATTCATGAAAACACCTAAATCTAGACAGTTATAATTTAGCATAAATAACAACTCACATCGCTCTTTTTCTTACTCTTTTTCTTGTCAGCCATGTTGTCAACACAATATGCCAACTTCTATCAACTGGTCACTTTGAGCCTTGGCCATGGAAACAGTAATTTTCGGGTGGGGGGTAAACTACATTAAGTAATTACAATATCAAAATAACTTTCTTTTTTACACAAATCTTGCAGAAAGTTTGTTGTAATTTATTTCCTTATATATTTTTTTAGGATATCGATCTGTAATTACTGATTTTTTTACTCGTTTCGGAGTTAGATTGTTTTTTGGGGGGCCTTGAAAGCTAATAATTTGTCTGTGAAAAACAACAATTACCTGAAGTCTTTTAAATAAATAACATTTTAAAATGACCATTTACTTCCCCAGAGAAAATAAAGTACCAGATTACGATTTATATCGAAAAAACAAAACTACAATTTTATACTTCTGAGTAATCGATCATTGGCCGTCCTTTGACTCGTAACTTGTTATTAAGACTTGTTAATTTTAGCTACGATATGGCTGAGAAAGAAGAAATTGATACTTTTGACAGTTGGGAAGAACTAGAGGACTCTGGAGTAGGTATTTAGTAATTTAAACTATTGTATTTAGTTTATTACCTTTACTATCGACCTACTTTTAGCAATATTTATGACTTTTTCTTTGTATATGGAAATATTTTTTTGGAAATTTTTGTTCCCAACAATGTGATTAAAGTTTTGAATAATCTAAATGAATTTCAAAACTTTTAATAAAGATTTTTAGAAATCACTGGGGTAGGTTTCTTTAATAGGTTATAATTTTACCTCATAGATTTAAGTCAGATATTACGATAATATTTCTTAAGATACTTATAGATCGCATTTATTTTCTTATTTTCTTCTAGATGGAACTACTCTAGCAGTATAGCATTTATAAGAACGACTTGTTTTTCAGGAACTGGACAAACAGATCGAAAAAATTCAACTTAATCAAATGTCTATTCAGAACGGCATGTCAAAGTATGTATGTTAAAATGTTTAGAAGTCGTTTGATTTGCAATAGATTTTGCTTCTTTTTTTATTTATTTTTATTCATTCTTATATTTAATTTTTATAATTTGGTGATCTTAGACTAAGTTTTTTCCCCCTATATTAGTTTAAAACCTGGACCTTTGATATTATCTCCAGAAGATATAAGGCTCAAATGTATGCCTCCTGAACCATCTGTGAAAATATTACAGAGACCAAATCATAATGGTTTAAGGAATGGTTTAATTAATGGTGAAACAAAACCTAAGCAGCCTGTTAAAACTCTGCAACAGGTTAGTATAGTATGTTACTAATGTATTATGAACTTGAGTAGGTTAAAATATTTACAGTTATGTTTTAACTTCACTAGAGAGAACAAGAGTATGCAGAGGCTAGATTAAGAATATTAGGTGAAGCTCGAAGTCCTGAAGAAGAACGATTTTCATCCCAAATTGATGAACGGTTAGTATCTAATAAAATGTAGTATTGCACTTTATTTTAGATTTCAGTGTTATTTGAATTCAAGGGAAATTATGGTTTGTGATTGTATGAAAAGTAGTAATTTGGTTGAAAATCAGAACTTTAGTATGATAAAAGGTAATTACTTATTAATTATTGAAGGTATTTTTCGGAACTCTCATTTTTAACAATAAAACAGGTCCATGTAGTATACAGGGACATCTAAATTCTTAGATTATTTAATTTTTGCAAAACTTATTTTTGGAGGACTGTTCAGGAAAGGGTTTTTAGTTATGGTCTGTGGGATGGCCAGGATTGTGTAGACTAGTCTTTTTTAAGAAAGTATCTGGAATTCGTTGAGATGACCAGCAAATTCACCTCCTTGCCCATTCAATTCTTCTGAGTTATACTCAATGTTTCTGTTATCCATTTTTGGAATACAAGTGATTCGTTTTTCTTTATATATTTTGACGTTTTTTTAAGACCTTTTTTTATATTAGTATATGATATGATGCAATTTCTAAGAAATCATATACTCCATTCTTTTAATCTTAAAAAGAAAAATTTACAACTGATTTATTTAATCTAGATAGTCTCCACTACTATCGATACATTACTGCCAACATGTTAGCAACTTTTCTATTCCCTCCGAATAGAATTTCCAACTTATAGAATTGTTAAACTCCAAAAACGTGTTTTCTAATTACTTTTGTCCATTAAAATTTTTGTTAAGTAAGTAGTCCAGTTTCATATCCAAGCTCCAACATTTTTGTGATGTCACACATGAGACATCTGACCAGGCGTTATCATGCAGCAAAATGGACCCATTTCAATTGAACAAAGATGTCTTCATTATTGCCAATTTCTGATGCATTGCATTAATTTGGTTACTATACGATTCACCATTGATGGTTTCTCCATGTTTTAAGAAGCTGTAGTGTTTCAAACCAAATTAAGCCCACCAAACAGTAACCATCACCTTTTTTTGATGAGTTGGGGCTTTCGAAAATGTTCTGCTGCTTCTCCTTTGTTGAGCAACTGTCCTTCATGTCTACTGCTGTCATAAGGTATCCACCTTTCACCACAAATAACAATTCTAGACAGAAAATAGTTGTTTTTTATTTTTGGCAAAGAAGTGTAGCACAAACTTCATAACACTGGTTTTTTTTTGGCATTCGTTTAATGTATGTGGAACCCAATTTTCAAGGTTTTCTACCTTTGAAATCACCTTGAGGTGGTCATCAATGGTCGATTTGCTAAGGTCAAGTTTCCTTGCAAGTTCTTGAACAGTTGTTCTGGGGTTTTCTTCCACCAAAGACCGCTGAACATCGTCATTAAGAGAGGAAGTCCTTCCACGATCTTCTTTGTCTTCAAGGCTGAAGTCTCCCTCTCGACATTTTTTGAACCATGACTGAACTGAACAGTGCACTCATGAATACTGCTCTCGCCCCAGACTTGATTGAAGTTTGTGGCCATCTTGTCCTCATTCTGGTCGAGTTTAAACTTGTAAAACAAAATTGTATGAAAATCATGCGATGATTTATTTCTGAGCAGCAAAAAGCTACAGAAGTAAACAAACATTATTGTTTGGAAGAGGATTAATAAGTATTGACATTCATACAAATGAATAATCCTGTAAAAATAAACAGTTTGTTATATAGAGGAGTATTTTAAAGAAAACTCTAAATCCTGCAATATTTTCCAAACAACCCAATAATTTCTACAGTCAATTACCCATCTCTAAATTATTTGTTTAGGTATTTTGTCAACTATAAATTGTCATTGGTCACTAGTATCTGGTCTTTTGATAATACTTGCAAAATGGGTTGAAACGTAAGCACTTGTAAGCGTGTTTTGACTCCAGTGACCAAATTTCTGACTAGCTTCTGCTAAAATTGCATCTATGGTCAACATCTACATTATTACAAATTTATATTTATTCTTACTGTATCTACATTTAATTAATCTATATCTATATCTACTACCACTTAATTAAAATTAATTAATTAATTAATTAAATTAATCAAAACAAAATTATAAAGAGTGTTACAGCTATTCCACTACATCGTCACACTGTTAATTTAACACCTCTTAACATCAATAATGCCATTATAATCGTTACCAATAAAATGGTAATTTTGTTTTGCATACTTACCTAATATGACCTTGAAATAATCTTCTGTAGTACTTATAATGAATTTTTATAAAAATAGAAATGAGCTAAATGCTCATGTATATTAAAATAGATAGATTAAATGTCCACTTGTATGTTGGAGATAGAAGGCTTGATGGTTGGCATCGTCCATTTATAATCTGATGTCTTATTTTTTCCTTTGTTTGTTTGAAAATATTTTTTCATTATGTTATTATATTGTTTAATATAAAATTAATCAATTATTTTAGTTTAATTACAATAGTCACTAGTTATTTGTTGGAGTTAGTTGTCAAGATACTGAAAGAGGATGATAAATTTATAGTTGCTGATCATTATATTCTGTACAAATTATTGGTACCAGAATTTTTTTAGGGTATTTACTGTAATTGGCAGGTTAATATCTTTAGAAATGAAACTTCTAGATTTTGTATATTTTGATGTTAAGAGATACAAATTAAGTAATAAACTTAGTTGAGCATCACTTGAAGAAGACCAAGTACAAAATAATAAAATAAATTAAACAAGATAAGGGAAAATCTGCTTGCCTTATTACAGCATACATGTATTGTTTGAACTATTAGGAACTCTCTAGAAACTGATAACAAGATGCGACTGCTGTAATAAAAATAATTACGCATTGGAACACTGTCATCACAGCCATATATTTACTGTTCCTTTGAGGTTAGCGTTACGCCAGCAGTTGCTACAACTCTTGTCTTATGTTGGTTTAGGAAATGGAGTTCCCTAAATTATCCTTATTATCAAGCTGATTATACTTAATAAAACTACTTTGTTCTGGAAATATTTTTCAAGTATCCAACAGAGGAATAAATAAAGGCATTTGTGTTTTTAAAATAAAAACTGTTGTTAATTACTTGCTCAGTTTATTCTAATGTGGTCGATGTAGTTTACATTTTTTAGTAATATCGTTTTTTTTTTTGTTTTTGAATATAGGCATCAAATATATTCAGTTGTCAACTATTTTATTTTTAACTAGTTTATCATAGTAAACAATTTGCTATTTTTTTGCATTTATTGATGATTCATGTAGGATGAATAAAAACTTATGATCTTTTAAAAGTTAAATTCAACATCTGACAATATAATTGAAATTTAGTAGAATTAAAAATAGTTGGATTTGTTAGTTGTTAATTTATTGGATTGGGTTGGGGACTGTAATAAATGGGTTAGGAATTCGGAAAGTAGGTTGCATAAATTATGTTCAGATTTTCTGAAGTCTCTTTTCTGATTCTCAGATTACAATCTCAGGGTTTTTTCAAAATTTAAAGCCTTACTACAATAACAATGAAAGTCATCAATCAATCAGGTTTCAAAAGTCGATTGATCGAGATGAGATAGTCTTTTAAATATTTCGACGAGGACATCATGATCCAATATAGTTCTATAGAAATACACCGGTCCCACGTTTTAAAGCCCTAAAATGAACAGTTTTTGAGATAATGCAGGAACTTAATCTTGTACTTGCGATATTGGATCTTGTGTGATGCCATGATTGCCATGGATTCCCTAATCACATAAAAATTGAAATATCTACTATTTATCATTTTTCTGGTTTTTGTTTGTTGGTACTCTATATCTTCATTAATTCTTCATCAAATGCAAATGATTAAGCCATCATTTTGAAGATTATCTTCTTTAGGTGGGAAAAATAATCATTTCTCCAAAAATGTCAGGGAAAAAGTATAGATAAAAATTGAACTTAATTTGTGCATTGCTAAAAAATTATTTAATATGATGGATTACATCTATAATTATTTAGAAGGTTATTAAGTTCCCTATGAAACCAAAAAAATTACTGAAATATGGCTATTATTAGCAAAGATGCATCATGTAGTAATTTGTAATCAATTAACTCTTGTATTCAACTAAAGGAAAGAAAATTAATTCTTTCATCTCATAATATATTGCATTAACTTATTTCTTCCTTATTTTGTCATTTGTTCACTGATAGATATACTAAACAAATTATTTACTGCAATAGTATTTATCTATTTTACTTCTATAGTTTCATATTTCATTAATGAATAATTAAAAAAAAAAATTAAAATAGTATTAGTGTGCCCTACTCAAAAAATTTTATTATGTCATATTGAATGAATAATCTAAATTAAATTATTCATTCATTGTTTGCCATATAAAAATCCCCATTTTTAATGTTTTGGTTAGTTTTAAACATATTTTTCAAGTATTTTGGTATTTAACCCTTTGACTGCAGGACCTCAATCGAATGTTTCTACTAGATGACGGGTCCTGAAATCCATATAGGTGTTCAGAAAAACAGATTTCCCCGCCCCCCTCACATTAATTTGTTTGAAATTCTATTTATGAGACACCCTGCAAGATCTTAGCTTTCAAAAATGCATTTTAATTTTTTTTATTTAACTTATAATAACCAGGTTATATGTCTATAATACCTTAGGGTCAGAATAAATCTGCAACCGATAGCTTCCAAATAGTCAGAATCCGGAATAACCGAACTGGGTGAGCTACAGTGGACTAATGAATGCAATGACCAAGTCACATGTCGAATAGTGGAAGCGGGGCTTGCCCCTACCTCTTTAAGTGGAGACAGCCAAGGCAGGAAGGCAGGTATCCTGGCCGCACCAGTGATCCAACTCTAGGCCGGGAAGGCAGGTATCCCTGCCGCACCAGTGATCCAACTCTAGGCCGGGAAGGCAGGTATCCCGGCCGCACCAGTGATCCAACTCTAGGCCGGGAAGGCAGGTATCCTGTCAGCACCAGTGACCCAACTCCTAACGGGAAGACAGGTATCCCGTCCACAGTCAAAGGGTTAATAAATTGTTCAAAGTAACAGTATTCTAAATAATCCATATTGTTTTTATTTTACATTATCAATAAATTGTTCAAAGTAACAGTATTCTAAATAATCCATATTGTTTTTATTTTACATTATTAATAAATTGTTCAAAGTAACAGTATTCTAAATAATCCATATTGTTTTTATTTTACATTATTTTATCTAGTTCTATTAAAAAATACTATTATCGGGTTTTTTAAAATTATGTTTTATCCTTGCGAATTGCACCATATAAATTACTTGTTATGCCTTATTTTATAAAATGAAATGTCACCTTATTCATCAAAATCCATCGCTTGTGAGAGCCAGTAAAGGGATCTATGATTATCATATATTTTTAAATGTTTAAAAGAGACCAGGACAATTAATTAATTTTCTTTTTGTTGGCATATTACAGACCAGGTAGATCTTTTGCTGCCTCAACAAGCCTGCTTCATCTCTGGATGACAAGACAAGCCTGTCTTTAGCTATTTCTTTCCATTTATTTGCATGCAGCTCTATTGTATCTTTGTTGATTCTATCTATCCATCTGCTTTTTGGCCTTCCACGTGCTCTTTTGCCTTCTATTGACTGCTCATTGTTATATAGAGGATTCCAGATGGATTTATTGGTCTTTCTTCTCCATGTGTTAGTACTCTGATCCCAGATTGCTTCGGTTGGCGGAAAATTTTCCTCAAATTTTTTAACACTTTTTTCTAGAGTGCTGGTTAGTGTCCACATCTCACAGCCATAAATTAGAACTGGCTTTATCATAGCAATGTACACCCTTAATTTGATATTTCTTGAGATTTTTGGGATTTCAATACCTTTGAGAAGGAGCAGAAAGCTCTGTCGTCTCCTCCATTTTTAAACAGTTCTGATGGTAGGTTGTCTATCCTGGGGACCTTTCTTGTTTTGAACTTTTTGATAGCTATTTCTACATCCGACATATGTGTTTTTTTAACTTCTTCTGGGTCAAGGTCCTCAATGTGGTCCATGTCTTCTTCGTTCATGAAGTCTCCTTGATTGAGAAGTTCCTGGAAATATTCTTTCCAGATGTTCTATATAATTTCTTTAGATGCCATTTTTCCTCGCACTTGCGTATTTCTTGCTTTATATCCTACCCTTTCTTTCCTAATGTCGATGTAGAATTCGCGTATATCTCCTGTCTGCCAGTTGTTCTCAATGGTTTGCAATCTTTCTTTGAGGAATTCCCTTTTGCCGATCTTATAGTTTTGTTTACCTTTTTCTTGGCAGCTTTTTACTTGTCCTGAGCAACTTGATCAGTTGTAGTTAGGCAGAGGACTTCCATTTTTCTTTTTTCCTCTACTTAGCTTTTCGTTTCCCATTACTACCGATCACTACTTTAGCTGTTTCTTTTAGTCATTTTTCCATTTCCTCCCAGTGTTGGTCCATTGTGAAACTATCCGAATCCAATGGTTTGAATTTATTTTTCAGCTTAAGTTGGAATTTGGTTTTTACTTCAGGATTTTTCAAATTACAGACTTCATACCTCCTTCTTTCCACTCGATCCCCAATTGTGTGAATTCGCTTCAATCCCTGACATGCTTTAATTCTAATCAGAGAATGACCCATATCACAGTCTGCTCCACGGTAGCTTCTTACCCCTTATATTACATGGCCAATTTAGTTTTTCACTCCTTTGGGGCTAACTCAGGTGTACCTGTGGATATACTTGTGTAGGAACATTGTACTGCTGTTGACTAGACCTTTAGCTGCTGCCAGAATTAATTAATTAGTAAATATAATTTATTAAATTAAAATAACTAAACACTAAAACAAAAAAATTCAAGCTCAGTTATAATAGGAAATAAGAAAAAATTCTTTTCTTTTAATGAATTATTAAGGAATAATTATCTAAAAACCAATGTCAATCCTTTGATGTTACCACCAGACGCTTGACCAAGGTCAATCCATTCAATGGATCTGATTACATCAATTAATTAAACCATTGTTTGCCATTCCTTGGTCGAGATTTACTGTGAATGGACTGGTTCTTTGGCTCTGATTACCTTCCATGTACACCAGTAGAATCTTGACCAATGAACTTGTTGATTTCCGTTTGTTGGCTGAAATTTGCCACTTTGTGTTAAAATGCATTTAGGGAAATGAATTCTCTGTAAAAGTGTATAGGGTTTAGTTGGTTTTGATTTAATGTTTAAAGAGTGCATGGAGGATCTCTTGGTTAAGAGATCAAGAATATAGCTATGATGTTTTTTTAAAATTAGTTTAGGACAGCTCAAAGAAATTATTCCATCCAGAAATGAGATTGAAGCTGATTTAATCAAGAATTAAAGTGTGAGGTATGAGAGCATTCTGAAATATGATATTGAAAACTATGATCTCATGTCTTTTTTTGGGGACTATTCCATATAGTCCTCCATGTTCTACCCATAGACAGTGTGAAGAAAAATTAGGAAGGATACTAAAAGCTATCAGCAAGGAGTAGTGAAATTTATTGAACATTTTGAGAATGTTGATCTAAGTAATGATAGAATTTCAGTATCTAGAAAATAGTATATACTGAAGATTGTAACAGTTGTCGTTCAGTGATTGTTTTGAATAGATAAGTTAGACTACATCTTTTGACATAAATTTTTCATTTTATATAAATCAGTTATTTTAATTTATTATTATTTATTATTTTAAATTTATTATTATTATTATTTATTTTATTGTTATTTTAATTTAGTTGATTACATGAAGAACAATATTTATATAGCATGTTTAGCCCTAGATAATATTTCCTTATCCTATATCAACCACACACCGCAACAGTTTTGTCCCCAGACTTATTTGTTGTTATTTGTATGAAGGCCAACAATTTTTCACATTTATTTTTCCCTTTTCATTATTTCTTGTCAGAAACAGATATAAGTCTTATCTCCATTAATTTTTCCATTAATAAAAAAAAAAAGAAAGGGGTATCAGTATATCTCTTCCTCATTTCTGTTAAAGTAAACAAGAATAAACTAATTTTCTGTTGTAATTTTTTATTTCGACATCTTATGAAAAAATAATTTTGAAATAAATAATAATAATATTTATTTATTATCGATTCAACAGTAATATTTAACATTAATAAAATGGATTTAGTTACGGACAGAAATGGAAACAAATTTATTCCTTGTTGTCTAAATCATTTACCAGTAGTGGACATTTTTGATTCTAAAGATTATGACCTTCTAGTTATTTTAAACCTTCACATAAATTTCCTAACTTTAGTAGTAAGGAAGAAAAACCATATCATTTTATGACAAAAATACTTAACTTATATATAAACAATTTATCTACTTACAATATACTCTACTTTTTTCAAAAGCATTTGGACAATTCTATACTTTATTAATTATTCTATTTATATTTTTTATTATTTTAATTAGATTTATTTATCTTTATTCCATGTGATTATGTCTCATACTTTATGAGTTTTGGTATACAGCAATATTTATGAGTTATCATTGGAACACCCATCTTTTCTTTTTCATTTTGATTATTACTTTATTTGTTTTATTTCATATCAATATATACAAACACACAGACCTGTCATTATCATGTCATTCAAACCCACCAATTTATCTATTTTCACACACACATACATACTCATATTTTATATTTTTTGTATCTAGTAACAGGACACAATGTATCATGTAGTCAGTTGAAAGTTTTTGTGTTAAATTATATGCCATTGGTTTAAATTTTCCTTTTAAATTTAATTTAATTTTTTCCATACTTATAATGTATACATACATTGTTTTGTTTTTTCTTTTCAAGGTGAAACCTGGCTAAAACATCTAGTTTTGAATATTCTGGCATGTTTATAAATGTTTCTTTTATTATTCTTTCCATGTAAATATGATCCCTGTTTTATTATTTTTGAAATCCAAGCCAATAAATATTTATTCTGATATTGTTTTGTTTTTATTTCTGTTTGATATATTTAGAATACAGAAAATTCAAAGTAAAACAGAGATTCTACGACCTCTTGAGAACTGTGCTGGTATTATAAGGCTTCCTAAAGGTCCAGATGGAACAAGTGGTTTTAATTTCCGAAGATAGTTGAGTGTTTTAATATTATTTTTGCTTTTCATATTCTAAAAAAAAAACTTTTAAATGTGGTGTATAATGGATGGAACCTTCAATTTAGTGCGTCATAATTTTAATGTATTTAATATTTAAGAGTTACAATTACTATTGTAAATAAACAAATTTGAACAACACGTCAACGCTTAAATTGTGGTATAAACCAATCAAAAACGCTGGGCTACTAAGCATTAAGAAAATATGGTTTCATTGTAAATTTTTTTATGTACATATGTGTATATTTGTATAAAATTTATGTAATGGGCTTTATAATGTTTCATTCGTTGTAGCTTACTTTATATACTTAGTAAATTTATTTTATTTCATTATTTGTGGCCTGTAAAGAGATAATTAATCATTAAAAGTGTATATAGGATCTGGTTTGGTTTTATGTTTCTAGGTTTCAAGTCAATTTGTAGTTAGTATAATTTATATTCTTTCTAACAATAAAAAAAGAAGTAAGAAAAGATCTGAAAATGTTTTAGGAAGTGAATTATGAAACCTGTCATTCAATATTTGTTTCTTTTTTAAAATTTTAATTTCATTATTGTTTTATCTCTGCCCTAGCTACGAAAAATAAAACTTATCTTTTTACTGTTTATACTTTTCAGGATAACTATTTTTATTGGTGTTGTGGCAATGCGAATTTTCTTTGTTGACAGTTCTGTATTTAACAATATATATTTAGTTCGTTATACATATCAAATTATTGTTTTGTAAACTTTCCTTTTAAATTTTTAATAATTATTATCTAACACAAATAGCTTGAATTTTTACTTTATTTTGTGACATAAGCTCCAGTAAATAACTTTGCTGTGTGTTTAAAGTTAAGTATTGTTATGCTCCAGAAAGTATTTTTGACAAATTGTCATTTGTATTTGATGCCTTTACAATTTATATTGAAAGTTGTGCAAATAAATTAATTTGGACCTAAAATTTAATGAAGTGGAAATGATCGTAGCATCAATTAGTATACTATGCCTTGACTCCAATTCTTTTCATGTTTACTTTTGATTTGGAGTTATACAATTTCAAACTGCTATTATCTTCCATTCTTGGTTACTATTTTTAAAGAAAATAACCACTATATAATTATTTAATTACTCATTAATCCATTGTAGTAATGATTATGCCTTGTATTTTTTAAAAAAACATTTTCTCATTTTAACTTGTAAAAACTGTGAATAAATTAGCTAGTAATTAAAAATTAATTTTATAGGATGATATTTTGACTTGATTTTTCAGTCAACAATTTTATGTATGAGATCCAAAAAAATCATAGTATTAAACTCTTCATATCATGTTACAGAGCTTTCAGATTTGATTTAAAGTTTGTCAATTTATTGAAAAAAGTCACTTAGTACATTTTTTATAGAGCTAAACTTTAGAATATATATTTTTGAATTTGGTAATATTCATACAAAAACTCAGTAAGAGCATCAAAATAACAGATACAGTTATCATATGTCAAAAATAGCTACAAGTACCCAATGTTTACCAAGGAAATATTCATAAAATTACTGATTGATTTAATTAATATAAACTGATTGTAAATAAATTGGTTTATTACAATAAACCGACAATGTATATAAATAATTGACTTCTTAGAGTACTTGAATTATCCATAAAATTTGACCTACTAGCTTATTCATTGTTGTGGATATATTCTGTTTAAGCAATTCATTCTGAATTTGTGCAGAGACCATTACAGAATTGGAGCTAATAAATAAAGTGTATTATCACAATAATTCTACAAAAAAAAAAAAAAAAAATGGAAAAAAAAATTGATAAGATTCTCTTCTAAAAAAAAAAAATGAATATAAGCATTATTATTATTGTTAAATTAGTTATGGTTCTAATTTTAATGTGCTTCATTTTTTGAAAATGGTTTGCATTGCTCATTTTAACTGATGGAGATGTCTCATATGGTTAATTTTACAATTAATCATGAAATCAAATGAAAATAGTGTGGATTCTTATCACATTGTGGTATTAATATATGTTGAGACAGCCTATAGTTTGGTATCTGTTTTTGTAAAATTTATTTCAATTTAAAAATATAAATCACATTTTGATTGTATTAGTTATATGTACAGTTAGGCTATTCAAATGGTTGTTTTTTTTTTTTGATGATTAAGATTATTTCCGATTTGTTTTTGAAATTCTTTCATTACAATTTGGTTTCATCAAGCGCAACATTTATGAATGCCTTTAACATTCAACCCTCAGAGCTTATCTTTTATGAGATGGGTATTAAAATTAATCATAAGGATATTAAATTAGAAATTAATTCATGACATTTGAAAGAATTGAAAACAATTAGATGAGACTGAGTACTTATATGTTGTGTATTATATGTTTTAATATTTGGTATATACCAATTAAAAGATGTATTTATTGAATAATGGTTCATTAAAATTTATTGTACAATCGTATATTTTTTTCATTAGTTATTACGAACAAATGATGTATGAAATGGCTGTTACTTTGTGATTGCTTTATGCTGATTTGTAACTAACTGAAATTGATGGTTCTTTGTAAAATTTGTTTTAATTTGACAGTTGTGATTACATTTAAGCTTTATTATTTCTAGTGCTTGCTTTATTTCATTAATTTAATTGGTTCTGTTCTGTTTTATTATTTATTACAATAGCTATTTAAATATTTTTATATATAGCAACTGTAAATAAAAATATTGTATATCAGTGTTTAACGTGTTATTATTATATTTTATATTTATATGTTAGAATGATTGATATTATAATATTAGGGAATCATGTAAGGTACATTAATTTATTTTGGTTTTGGTTAAAAAGAAAATAATTTCTTACGTACTCTACTATTTTGAAGATATTTGATTTTTAAATATTTGTTTATTTAGTTACTTATCCTCTTCTATTTTGGTAATAAATACCCACTGTTTATGATATTGTTCTAGTGTTTTTCAGCAAGTTTCTGTTGAAATGATTCTGTTCTGACACGTTTACAACAATAATGAATAACTCTTTATTCTTTTGTTGTATAATAATTTTGTTTTTTTTATTGAACTAAAGTCTTGACTTTATTAATTATTGGTTGGTTCCTTTTTTTAATTTTTTATATGAGCACTAATGGAACCATCTACTTTGTTTTCATTTCAATTTATCGGGTACTCTTTTTCATTGTAAATTGTTTATTTTTTAAATCTTATTGCTTCATTGAGGGAATATATATTATGATGTTAAGTTTTTGGTTGCTTTTGATATGTTTCCATGAGTACCAATAATATACATATATATATAATGATAATTAATAGCAAAGCAAATTATCTTTTCCTAAATGATTTTATGCTTTTAATTGCAGTATTAGGCCAACACCTAATTTCTTCTCCAATTTTTTATATGAAGAACTGAGATCTCATCGTTATGCATCCTTGCTAAGTGAACACTCTTATCTGTTCCTTCTCAAATTAATGCCTTGTAGAAACACAATTATTATTTTTTTTTTTTGGTTCCTCCCCTTGCTCGCCTTTGAGGCCATACGTGGATTTCCTGGGCCAGGAGGTGAGGGCGGGGATTTACAATACTCCCCCACCACCAGGAGGAGAACTCGTGACTATTTTTTATCACTTTGTCTTAATCAGGTTGCCAGGCAACGGCGGTGCTGTGCACACACGTTAGCCCTTTCGGTCACACCGCCCACACTGGAACCACAAGCTGTTGAAAGATCAGGTAAATAAAGATGATAAGTATATTGTTTAAAAAAATTGAACTTTTATTGAATAGTGAGTAGTATGATTAAAACATTACTTATCAACTTTATCCAATTGATCCTTATAATATTATGAATAATTAACTGATGGTTTTTATTTTATTAAGTGTGTATTTTATAAAATAATTTGACTCTTGTAACTGAAATCACTTAAATTAAACTTGATTTATTTTATGTTTTTGCTCAAATAATTTATTTCTTTATTTATTGAACTTTTATTAACAGTTTGTATAAGTCTTCTATTTACTTCTAGTTTTATTTTGTACCATCTAATATTAAATGTAAGAACTTTTATGTTCGATGAATTCACGACTAAAGGATCTTAGATACTTGTATTTATGTTTCAATTTTTAATTATTAAATATATTACTCATTCTTTTGAAAACATTGTATATATGTTTAATTAGTTTTATTTAAATATATTATAATAATGGATATACAATTGTATATATTAAAGTAAAAAGAGCTTAAGGTGTAATTATTTAATTTAATTCATTAGTTATATATACAATTAAATGAATTAATGATTGACATTTTTGTTTTATTGGATTTCAACCAATGATTGAATATATTATGATTTTTTTTTTGTCTTAAATTTTTATAAGGTTTAAATGTGCTTTTCAAAATTTTTTATGGCTGATAGCACCTGTAAAATGATAGATTAATATCAAATGAGAGAAACCGTATTGGTTCTTGAAAGTTGCTTCCCTTTCATTTTACACATCGGAAAATCATTTGTTACTTATCTGCTATTAAAGAGACTTTTTAAAAACATAGTGTTGTGCTGTTTCGTTATATATTATATATTTATAGGAGAATATCTGAGGAAAGAATCTATTTGTTACACCTGCCATAATTCTTTTGGTTTAGCTAAGGCTTTTATTTCTCTTAAATGTTAATACTACAAGAACAGAATTCTGAATTCATTATGTCCAGAATATCTGCATTCACAATAGGTTAGTTGTATATCAGGATCAATTCCTGGTTATATCTGAGTACTTAGGTAGTAGCCAATGCTTTTTTTTTGTTGAACTGACTATTATAATATTTTCACTACTAATGAAAAATAGGAAACAGATTTAAATTTATTTTTCAAATTATTTAAAAAAAGTACCAGTAGATCATTACTGGCTTAAAAATTGTTGGTTGATTTAGACTTTAAGAGACATTATTCCTCCGAATAATATATCGGTTAATTGCAATAAGTCAGGTGATATTTTATAACATTAAATCACCAAGAACTTCGACAAATGTTTTTTTTGTGAAGTCAGAAAATGTTGCACCTTTTTAACTATATTTAATACATAACAGAGTTTTGTATCATTTATATGCACTTAATTTGCACATTTTATCGATAAGTAAGATTGAAATTTGCAAAAACATTCTTGAAAGTTCAGCATCATAAAATATTTATCTATTTTTTTTCCTGATATACTCTTGAGTAATTATCTTATAAGTGCTTGTTGATCATGGATGATTTATGCTGTATAATTCTTGATCTAGTTATCACTTGAAAAACATTCTTGAAAGTTCAGCATCATTAAAAATTTACTTAATGACTTTTTGCAATATTGCATCCTTCCCTATGCAACATTCCCAACTCGAACATATATTTTTGAATATGACCACTTCATTAATAAAAATCATTATAATATATTAATTTAAAAACGTTTCGGCCAGTACCTAGGGCCATTTTAAAGTCTTAAAAATTTCAATGTGAATTAATTAATACGTAAATGCGGTAAAGGGAGATCTAACATGAATTTGTTTTTTCTTTGTTAAAACAAGTAAAGAAAAAGAAAAGAGAAATATAGATTGAAATTAGATGTATAAAACAAGGTAATAATATAAATTTATAATAATATATAAACACACACACATATATATATATATATATATATATATATATATATATATATATATATATATATATATATATATATATATATATAAGGTAATAATATAAATTTATAATAATATATAAACACACACATATATATATATATATATATATATATATATGTAGAAATTATATACATGCTAAGCAATAAAAAAATAAATTCTGTAAAAGATAAACACTTCTAAAATGGATATAATGACCAGATAAATAATGATTTTATGTTTGTAAATTTTAATGTTTTTATTTATATAAATTTTTTAAAATTTATTAATATTGAAATTTTTCTGACTTGGAAATAGCACTAAAACTGGCCAAAAGATCTTTTAAAATGTTTATGTTATGTCATAAATACAGCTATGTTGATGAAATGGCCTTATAATTGTGAGCAGAAGAAATTGGGACACAATTATTTTTACTTTAATTTTTTATGAATGTTTGAAGGTCGATTCTTGAGAAAAAAATCTCATTCAGGATCATTTCAAGGTAAATATTTTGTTCAACAATATTTGATTTTTAAAAGGTTAAAGAAATAAGTTTTTGTCAATAGTAACTGTTATTGTGAAGTTCAAGCCTTGAAATGAAAGCGATTCAGTATAGATATAGTTTTAAATAATAAAATACTAGACTTTTTTTTGTCTTATTTTATTATTTAGACTTTCTTCAGTTAACACTTTGAAGATGCCAGGTTAAAAGAAGAGATTGGGCAAGTGCCTAAGACTGAAAGTGACCTTAGAAAGGAAAGTGTACTACTGCGACAGAATGATTTTTCATAAAAAACAGCTTTTAATTTCTGTAATATTATTACGTTTGAAACAGAAAATCTTTTAAGAATTGAAACAATGTGGGATATTATTATTCCACAATATATTTATTCATTTAACAATCTCCAACTACATGGCAACATTTTGGCCTGTATGCCATTCTCAAGCTAATTGATCTATTTTATCACTCCTAGATTACAGTAGATGTGTTGTTGAAAGGTGTTATATCCATCCCTACTGTTACTCAGTTACAATCTATAGAAATAATGTAATTGTGTATTTAATAAAATTGAGTATTAATTATTTTAAACGATTAATATTTATCAAGATGACATTTGTTTAA